GTTTATATTTTTGTTCAGTGTACTTATTAGTTGGAGATAACTTGAATTAAGGGGTGTACACTCCATTTGATAATGCTGCTATCATAAACTAAATCTATTTCAGTGATGCTAATTGCTAAGCTAATGTTACTCACTTGCCCATATAATTGCTTTTTTAATGAAAAGTCAGTATCATTAGGGGAAAAACACATCCTTTCAAAATCTTTTAGCAATCTTCCCATGTCCCTCCCTCCTGTGAAGACTCAGTGTTGTAGAGCACACCAGAATATCAAGCACTGTGTCAGTCATTACACTGGCAGTGTGCTGCGGGAGAGTGAAGAGAGCTTCTCTGTATGAGGGGAGTTTAACAGAGAATGAGGAAAGAGGTGTTTTGAAGTGAGAAAAAAATAAAATAACTTTCTACCCACTTTAACAACCATCCCAGTTCACAAATAGCAGTTTTAACTCCCCTGATTAGCTCTGACATCTGCAGCCCTTCATCTTTCCCTCCATCTTGTTTTTAAAAATCACATTAACCCAAACGGGCATCCTTTAATGGCCTCTTTTTTAGGAAAGCTGAAAGAGGAAAGATAATTAAAATAATTAAACCATAGGGATTGGCCTGTGCATGCTCCTCTTCTCCTCTCTCTCTCTTTTATTTTCTTCTCTCCTTTTTAAAGTTTTGAATCTGCTTTGCTTACTGATTCGAGAGAGACAGAGAGAGAGAGAAAGAGAGATAGAGAGGGGAAGCCTCACCACCCTCATTTAATTGCATTAACTCTCCTCTCAGAGGTCCAATTTTTCCTTCCAAAAACAGCAACCAATGTAGAGTCTGATGTGGAGGTGTATATCAGCTGTCTAAATGTGATAGTGGGGGAAGGGCACATGTTATAAACAGACTTTATAGCGCATATTTATTTTGTCTATTTTAGGGTGTTTTGCGTAAGGCCTTACATTTAAAAAATGAAAAAGTATCTTCTTTAATCATTATTTATTCATGGACTTTTAAGCTTTTAATGAGGACAAATGAAGCCGTTTTCAACAGTGTCAGTATGTAGTATGCTTACCAAAAATGTTCTGGTTTAGCATTTTTCATTCAGTGTGTGACCATGTGGAATAAACACAAACATTTAAATAGAACTAGGCTTTTGAAAGGGAAACTTAAAATGATCATGATTTTAACTTGATCCTGCATAAATTCCTTATCTTAAATATTTCCCCTATAAATTCTTATCAGATTCAAATCATGATACTTACAGCTGCACAGTATTTTCTGTCTCTAAATTAGATTTAAATGAATGTAGATTATTGCAATAATTTAAGGGAAAAGCTCAAATTAATAAAACTTTGAGTTTGATGTCCAGTGCAATTGACAGAATGAACCATTTCAAACTCATTACTATAATAGGATAGAATGTTGTCAAGTGCCTATAGACTTTCAAACGACGTATTACTTGAGGAAACCCTTCTTCTGGGCTGCTTCAAATAATATGTGTCATTAAATATGTCATTATGATATTATTAGGAAAAGGAGGACTGATAAGTATTGCAAAGTTATAACTTTACTGGCCACATGAATCTAACAGTTGGATAATATTGAGGAGATAGTTGCTGTAAAAGAGAGAGATGTGTTCGCCTGTATTTATAGATTAATTGGCTGCGTTTACACAGGCAGCCCATTCTGATATTTTTTTCACTAATTAGTCTTTTGACCAATCAGATCAGCTCTGAAAAATATCTGATGTGAAAAGACCTGATGTGATTGGTCAAAATACCAATTAGTGGGAAAAAGATCAGAATTGGGCTTCCAGTGTAAATGCAACTATGTCTGCCTGCAATTTTATACATACATATTTTCTGTTGCTTAAACTAGCACCCCTGTATTAACTTATTTAGAAACATCTGCAATGTAGTGTATAATTGAGGTTTGGAAATTAAGGGAGGCAGGTAGCCTAGCGGTTAAGCGCATTGGGCCAGAAACCGAAAGGTCACTGGTTTAAATCCCCGAGCTGACTAGGGGAAAAATCTGATGACGTACCCTTGAGCAAGGCACTTAACCCTAATTGCTCCTAAAAATCATTCTGGATAAGAGTGTTTACTAAAATGTAACTATGTGTAAGAATCAATGTAGCAAAGTAATACCCTGCATTACAGCTATATTTCTGGAAATTGTTATGAAATAACTCAAATTTTACAAATTTTCTCTCTAAAAAAATGTTTATCCACAGGACTTTACTGTTGGCAAGAGATAGACATTCTCCTTAGAGCCCAATTCTAACTTTGCATAACCTGCTGTCTTTTTCTCTGCAACACTTTTCTTCATTCAGATCATTTTCACAGGGCTTCATTTCAAGTTGGCAAAGAGAAAATAATCCCTTTGCTGGAAATACTTCATATTTATATTTAAATTTTCATGGAATCTTTGAGAACATTGAGGAGCAATTTCACATTTGCACTGACATCTAATTTCTCAAGAAAAGTCTGAAATCACAAATTGCCAAGGATTCCCTCTGTGCCCAATTATCCTGCATCAATTTCCCTGACCCCGTGGAGTACTGGTGAATTAATCATACCACTTTTTTTTTGACTCACTCATGAAATACATAGGCACACGTTTGATAAACTAATCATACTTGCTCAGTTATACCCACAATGATTCCTTTCCTTTCACAAACTGATATAATTTAGGAGCAAGTAGCATTAACCCAGGGAACTGAGCTTTGTCGACGACACGCATACACACAATATCTGCATATAACGGTCACTATTCATTTTATGGCTTTGCCCAATATATTAATTAATCCGAAATTTACAAAATAAAACAGTTTCAGGTAATAGGAAGGAGAGGAATTTAGAACTATTTGGTGCTTAGGAAATAGGCAGAATGGACAGACAAACTACACTGAACAAAAATATAAACGCAACATGTAAAGTGTTGGTCGCATGTTTCATGAGCTGAAATAAAAGATCCCAGAAATGTTCCATACGCACAAAAAGCTTATTTCTCTTAACTGTTGTGCACAAATGTGTTTACATCCATGTTAGAGAGCATTTCTCTTTTCCCAAGATAATCCATCCACCTGACAGGTGTGGCATATCAAGAACCTGATTAAACAGCATGATCATTACACAGGTTCACCTTGTGCTGGGGAAAATAAAAGGCCACTCTAAAATATGCAGTTTTGTCACACAACACAATGCCAGATGTCTCAAGTTTTGAGGGAGTGTGTAATTGGCATGCTGACTGCTGGAATGTCCACCAGAGCTGTTGTATGATAATTGAATGTTAATTTCTCTACCATAAGCCACCTCCAAAGTCATTTTAGAGAATTTGGCAGTACATAAAAACGGCCTCACAACCGCAGACCATGTGTATGGCGTCGTGTGGGCGAGCGGTTTGCTGATGTCAAAGTTGTGAACAAATCAAATCAAATCGTATTTGTCACATACACGTGTTTAGCAGATGTTATAGCGGGTGTAGCGAAATGCTTGTGCTTCTAGCTCCAACAGTGCAGTAATATCTAACAAGTAATATCTAACAATTTCACAACATATTCCCAATACACACAAAACTAGTAAGGAATGGAATTTAAGAATATATACATATATGGACAAGCAATGACAGAGCGGCATGGACTAAGATACAATATATAATATTATAGAATAGAATGCAGTATATACATATGAGATGAGTAGTGCAAGATATGTAAACATTATTAAAATGACTTGTGTTCCATTTCTTAAAGTGGCCAGTGATTTCAATAGGCAGCAGCAGCCTCTAATGTGCTAGTGATGGCTATTTAACAGTCTGAATGCCTTGAGATAGAAGCTGTTTTTCATTCTCTCTGTCCCAGCTTTGATGCACCTGTACTAACCTCGCCTTCTGGATGATAGCGGGGTGAACAGGCAGTGGCTCGGGTGGTTGATGTCCTTGATGATCTTTTTGGCCTTCCTGTGACATCGGCAGACCGCACCACCCTCTGGAGAGCCCAGCTTTTGCGGGCGGTGCAGTTGCCGTACCAGGCGGTGATACAGCCCAACAGGATGCTCTCAATTGTGCATCTGTAAAGGTTTGTGAGGGTTTTAGGTGCCAAGCCAAATTTCTTCAGCCTCCTGAGGTTGAAGAGGCTCCGTTGCGCCTTCCTCACCACACTGTCTGCGTGGGTGGACCATTTCAGTTTGTCGGTGATGTGTACGCCAAGGAACTTTAAGCTTTCCACCTTCTCCACTGCGGTCCCGTCGATTTGGATAGGGGGGTGCACCCTCTGCTGTTTCCTGAAGAACAGAGTGCCCCATGGTGGCGGTGGGGTTATGGTATGGGCAGGCATATGCTACGGACAACAAACACAATTGCATTTTATCGATGGCAATTTGAATGCACAAAAATACCATGACTAGATCCTGACGGCCATTGGGATGTCCATTTTTTTAAGGTATCTGTGACCAACAGATGTATATCTGTACTCCCAGTAATTTGAAATCCATAGATTAGGGCCTAATAAATATATTTTAATTGGCTGATATCCTCATTTGAACTGTAACTCAGTAAAATATTTGAAAATGTTGCATGTTGTGTTTATATTTTTGTTCAGTATATTTCAGCAAGGTTGAAGTGTTATATGTTTGAGCTAGTTTGATACATGGCTAGTATATTCTATACTGTGCATTTTTGTACCACTAACCATTTCATAGATTTGACGAGTAATAATGCAACTGATAAATAACATAAATTGCACATTTTCTATATATATTGTATTTACACAAATACATCCTGTAGCTCCCACTGACAGTATTTGACCTTAGCAATAATTGTCTATGGACTTGTTTGCGCCAATCATCAACTATACACCACATCTACCAGACTGGCTTACCTGTTGATTGAGCCACTGCAGGAAAAGGCTGAGTATTTAAAACAACAGCGCTCTCTAGTGGGGAATGAGAGAGAAAATTGTTTAGTGGTCTGTTTTAGCCTTGGTCGAGTTTCGTGACTATAGAAAATGAAATGAAAAACAACATTCAGAGTATCGGTAGTGCAAAACATTAAAGACGATTTTTATTGTTCACAGTTAAACACAAGCAACTGCTTTTAAGAACTTTGTTTTTTGCCTTTTTTCAAAATCTCCAGCTCCAAAAGGAGTCCCAGTTCAAGCTTTCCATTTAGTCCACACTTGATTGTACCTTCTATCTTGGTTTGTTGTAGTTCCTACTACTATACTGTTGGCATTAAAGTGGATTGTTGAACATGCTTTAGATAGCAAGGCAGAGGGAATAACAGCTGAAGTTAAGTGGACAACAGGATTTATTACCATTTAAACACATGGCAGAACCCAAAAGAAAGAAGCAATTCTGACTGTCATAGGTCAGTAGGGAAGGAGGACCAATAAGAATGAATTGGCAGACTTGATTTTTTTCTTTTCAGACTCACTGTATCTATGACAATAGAGGATAACACATGCAAACCTTTTATGCATAAATCAGCCCTTTTGAGAGACCCAGATACTGAACTAGAATAGGAGCACTTTGAGGTCAATGAGTCATTTTGAAATGGTTGTATTCAGTATCTGGTAAATGTTTGGCACTGTCTTTCTGTACACTTTCTGTTAGCGAACTCAAACAGAAAATACTGCTTCACACAGGTTGATGTATTACAAATGATTTGTCGGAATTAACATAGCATGAGTCTGATTTAAATTCAAGATATGTGGTTATCATGAGCAACATTAGTTACTTAAAGTACTTGTAACTTTCTGCATCAGATATGTCACTTCTCATAAAAAAGCATTTGTAAATGATTGCAACATGACTTAAACAACATACCCTTGCATGCATGCATACATACATACATGCATACGTGCATACATGCATGCATACATACATGCATACATACATACACGTTCTCCCTCTTCAACACATACTAAAGGTCATTTCTGTCAGGAACATAATGAAACCAGCATGGAAACCAGCAATCCTCCTCCTATATTTTATCTCAAATGAAACAGTCAAACTCCCAGGTTCCTCCCCAAGCATAGCAGAGGAGTTGGAATCATTGACAACAATCTCATACTTGGCACAGTTACTCCCCAAGCCTTGAGAATCAGCCCACCCCAACCCACCTCCCTCACACAACATCAGTACAGGTGCTCAAGACAATAGTCAACCAAAACCAGGCTTTCATTACCATCACTTTCTCTCACACCCCACAAGACTAATACATAAGAATGAAAAGGCTCTCACATACTTTCTTAGTGTTTTATACTTGTCTAACTTATTTTGATTCGTTTTTTTAAACCTTATAACTTTGAACAACAGATTTGGAAATAGGGTCTCTCTATTTATATGAAATTGTTCAGGGAAAAAAACTCCCAAATGTCTAAGTATAACTGCAATTAGACCAGATATATAATGTGGTCTCTGCTGGTATATTGTAACATGACCTCCTTATTTAAACCTTCCTTCATTCCCATCTTTCCATCTGGGATTAAATCAATCAGAGGTTCAAATCCTGTTGTCCACTTAAGGGAATGGGATAAATAACACTGAATTTAAAAGAGCTTTGTCTTGAACTTTTATGGTTCTACTGCTTGTAGCTCTTGCTCCGGACGACCACTCTTCCTACTCTCCATCCTCCCCTCTATTCTCTTCTCCTCTCTCAGTTCGGTGTCTCTGTAACTGTGCTCTTGTTGTGTTTCGTTGTAGTCCATGATCCTTAGTGGCGGTTGCTGTCTTGGTCGTGCTGCGCTGGCCACTGCCCCTCCCCTTGCTCCTCCCATCTTCCTCCTAGGACTCTCCTGCTTGGTAGCCCTCTGCCTGGTTTCAGGCGGGTGCTTCTTGGCAGGCACAGTGAGAGGGACACCCAGTACAGAGGCAGGGACAGGAGTAATGGTAGGGACAGGGGTAAGGGTAGGTACAAGGGTAAGGGTAGGGACAGAGGCAGAGACAGGACACGTCAGAGCATTCCCCAGTGGGGTAAATAAGGGCTCCACACACAGCTCAGTCTTCAGGCACTGTGAAAGGCCGGCCAGGCGGGGGGGCGGCGGCTCCTCGTCACACTGGCTTTCGCTCTTGTTCCGGAACAGCTCCCGTGCCCTCATCCCCAGGAAGCTGTTGGCGCTGGGGTAGGAGCCAACCGTGAGGGGGGCGGCGTCAGGGGGCAGTGGGGTGGCATGGGGACTGTAAAAGGAGGGCTCCACAAGGAGAGGTGGGGGGATGTCCTGGGTGCTGTTGGCGGAGTTGAGAGGGGGCGCTTTGGGTGGGTTGTTCGCCTTTGGTTGCCCTGGCGATAAAGTGCTGCCGTTGCCCCGTGGGGACTGAGATGGTCTGCTGTCATCTGACCACTCGTTGGTCCCCAATGTGACTGGCCCATCTGGTTCCATGACACTGCCATTACCATAGAGACATAGGAGGAAAACATGGAGGGTGATTACTTTCAAATATACATTTGGCTTCCAATGGCACAAAAACACAAATTTCTGCATGTGCATTCACAGCAATAAAGTAAAAAAATGTAACAGCAATAAAGTAAAAAAATGTAACTTCAACAGTTTGACTGCCATCTCACCTTGAGTCTATAGGAGGGCCAGGATCGGTACTGCTGCCCCCTGCTGCTGAGGCTGTGGTAGGGCAGGCATGACCCTCCATCTCCAGTCTGCTGTAGAGGTGCAGCAGCTCAGTTTGCAGGAGCTGTGTCACTCTCCTCTGGGCCTGGTACCTGCTCTCTGATGCCTGAAGCTCACCCCTGCACAGAGATAGATGGATATGTTCATATCACACATTTACAGAGACAAGCTGCTATGCTAACACATACAGTTGTACATAAAAACACATAATCCAACTGCCTTGATCCAAATAAGTCTTCAAGGCCTTTTCCACCTCTAAACCCGGAGTGCTCATACTTGGCCTGGCCCTTGACATCCTCCAGGAACCTTTTCTGCTCCACAATGAGGTGTTCCTTCTTGGTGAGCTGAGTCTCCAGCTCGCCCACCCTTTGCTGCGCTGCCTCCAGCTTCTGGCCCTGCTGCAGCAGGCTCTGCCTCAGCCTCTCAACCTCCTTCCCCCAGGACACCTGCACCATCTGGGCCTCCTGCAGGGATAGAGAGATGGTGGTGGCGACAGTGGACTGTTTAAACTAGTTTGGCCAGTGGCCTCCATGAGAGGTATTGTCTCTGGTATGTATAGGTTGTTGTTCTTTTCCAAATACATATGTATGGGAACAGGTCTCTGACAACTTTTACCACAATGCAATGGAACACAATATGGAAGACCGGTATTCTCTCATGGTGGTTACAGGCAGAGACATCCATAGCAATTTGTCATTGATTCAGCTTCTACCCATGCAATACTACTGATCCTGTTCTTCTGTTTCCCCTCTCAGTTCCTACTATACTCCGTCTGTGGTCCTTGGCCCCCCTACCTTGGTGCTGTCGGAGCCCGTGTGCTGCTGCTGCAATACATCCAGCTTGCGGGCCTCCCCCAGGAGCAGCAGCTGCTTGTTCAGGAAACTCATCTGTTGCTGGGTGCTCTCACTGGTGCTCAGCTGAAGAACACACATAACAACCAATCAGAAGGGAGACAAACTCCTTTAATCTATGCACATACAGCATCTGACTGATATTTTACAGAGCAGAGCAAGTAGAACCAGGTGAGCTGCCTCACCTTGATGGTCATCTGGTTGAGTAGGTGCCCCGTGTGACACACTTTGTTGTTGGCTCTCTGTAGATCTGCCTCCAGCTCATTCATCTTCTTCTGACACTCATTCAACTGACTCTGGAAAGGACATTTCAGAACATCAGAGAGAATTCAACACAGAGCATGGAAGATTTTATATACAGTATTGTGTGTGTGTGTGTGTGTGTGTGTGTGTGTGTGTAAATGTGGTCATGCGTCTACCTGCAGTTCCTGGTTCTTGGTGTAGTAGTCGTCCCGGCCCTGCTGTAGCTGGCGGACCTGGCTGTGTAGTCTGGTGACCACGGTCTCTCTGTCGTCCCACAGCTGTCTGCAGCGCTGCTGCTCCACCTGCAGACTCTCCTTCAGAGACACGACGTCCACACTCTGCAGGTTCAGCTGGTCCTTCTGCAGGCGGACACACAACACAGGGAGCGAGGATGACATATCACTCACTGTTTCTGAAGAAATCTACAATGTCATATGATTTAATCAAATATAGTATATTTTTTCCACCATATGCAACGCAGAGGAAAACCCACAGTACCTCACATGCATGTGTGAGTGAGTATAACAAAGTTGGCGAGTGAAATGGATTAAGAGCATTTACATTTTATTCATTTAGCAGACGCTCTTATCCAGAGCGACTTACAGTTAATGAGTGCATACATTATTATTATTTTGTATTATTTAATTTTTTCCCATACTGGCCCCCGTGGGAATCGAACCCACAACCCTGGCGTTGCAAACGCCATGCTCTACCAACTGAGCTACATCCCTGCCGGCCATTCCCTCCCCTACCCTGGACGACGCTGGGCCAATTGTGCACCGCCCCATGGGTCTCCCGGTCGCGGCCGGCTACGACAGAGCCTGGATTCGAACCAGGATCTCTAGTGGCACAGCTAGCACTGCGATGCAGTGCCTTAGACCACTGCGCCACTCGGGAGATAGGCTCCTGCTTGATGATATTTCTCTACAAAACATCTGCTTCTTTGTGATTCTTTGAATGATAACCGTCTTAGACAGTTAGAATTACAACACTCCTATCTCCCAACAGATTTGCACTGGTTCTGAGAAGCTCGGGGAAGGGAGGAGCGTTTGTTACCATAGCGTTGTTCTGCTCTTCCAGTGCAGTGGCGTTGATGACGCGGCGCAGCAGACGTCGGTTGCGGACGGCGTGCTGCTCCCTCTTGTAGCGCTCGTATAGCAGCTGGCTGTGCAGCAGGAGCAGCTGGCTACGCAACGTGTGCAGCTCGTCCAGCGGAGCGGAACCTGGGGGAGGGGGAACAGGCACACAGAAGGTTAATGACAACCAGGAAAATGGTGCGGTCATAGAAAGATAAATCAGGATAATAGACTGTATTTACACTGAGTGTACAAAACATTAAGAACACCTAATATTGAGCTGCACACCCCCCCCCTTTTGCCCTCAGAACAGCCTCAATTCATAGGGGCATGGACTCTACAAGGTGTCGGAAGCATTCCACAGGGATGCTGGCCTATGTTGACGCCAATGCTTCCCACAGTTGTGTCAAGTTGGCTGGATGTCCTTTGGGTGGTGCACCATCCATGATACACACGGGAAACTGTTGAGCGTGAAAAATCCAGCAGCGTTGAAGTTCTTGACACAAACCGGTGTGCCTGGCTCCTACAACCATACCCCGTTCAAAGACACTTAAATGTTGGTCTTGCCCATTCACCCTCTGAATGGCACACATACACAATCCCTGTCTCAATTGTCCCAAGGCTTAGAAATCCTTCTTTAACCAGTCTCCTCCACTTCATCTACACTGATAGAAGTGGATTTAACAAGTGACATCAATAACGGATCATAACTTTCTCCTGGATTCACCTGGTCAATCTATGTCATGGAAAGAGCAGGTGTTCTTAATGTTTTGTACACTCAGTGTATTTGGTCCTTCTCAGGCGATGTCAAGGAACTTTGAGAACATTGTTTGCGGGGGTAACTTTTAACTCCACACTGTAAAAGGTAAGGTTTATTTCACTGGGTAGATGTGAAGTTTATGATGCATTGAAGGTATTTCTGAACTTATTTCTGATTATTCCTACTCACAGTTCCATCTGTCCCTCTAATGCTATTCTGGGCTAAAATAATAGTATTGTTAATTATGTAGATATAGTTTTATTTCATTAGCTCTAGCTACACCAGGCCCACATACACAGTACATGACAGCTACATTAATTAATATCTTGAACACTGATTATTCATAATCCTTTATTAATGAATGAAAGTTGTATGACTAGTGCACTGTATGTAGTCAAACTCTAACACAGAAAAGAGGGAACTGAGTAGGTGTACATAAAATAAAACTGGCAGATAAAATCTATGAGAACTTTACACCAAGGCCTCTCAGAATCATCCAGGGAGCTTACATAAGTTAAGCATAAGCTCTTTGTGGAGTTGGTTTCACAAACAATCACTTATACGTTACTTCTATAAGTTGTATAACCAGGCGAGCTTATTCAATTCCAATATTTGGCAGGCGGAGAGGGAGTTTAGGCCCAGACACAAGGCTGTTATACAGTGATCAGCAGCTTGACATGGTTAAAACAGAGCCCCTTGTTCCCATCCAGGGAGGATCTCATTATCACATTGCAGCAAGGATCATGTGAACTCTCAACTGCTTATGTCTTTATTATTACTATTCTACCTCCAAGGCACTTAATGAGTCCAGGTTGTGTTCTGGATCAAAAAGGGGCTTAGGTGGTGGCCGTGTTTTTTGTATTCTTCATTTTAAATTCTCCCTGACCTTCTAGCATTTATTTTTGTGATCGTCAGTTCTCAAAGATGATATTCTAAAAATATATATATAATATGTCCATTATCTTCTCTACATACTTTGTGTCAGGTTTTAGTTGTTTAAGTTTACTGAAAACGTTTTTCCATCCCGAAAATTAATAATAATAAAATAAATGCTTCAGGGGCCCGCCCAAGGATTTCAATGGCAGAAAAGTGTGAGCATATTGTCAAATGCCCTCTGTTTCTGCCTGATGTAGGAAAACTACATTGTAGTCATTGTATGGTAAACACATCATGAGGCCTAAATGACCTGAAAGCTTTATCAGTGTTCCCCTGTTGCACTAGCTAGTACAGTGTAGCTGCAGTGCTCTGGTGCTGGTTCTTTACCTCCAAAATGTGTCCAGTCAGCTGACTTGCTTGGCAAAGGTAATCTGTAAGAGAGCGAGTCATGTTTAAAAAAAAACAGGGGCAGCTCAACAGGGGCAGCATTGGGACAGTACATCAGACCCCCATATAAAGACCTGAATGGTAGATCCCTGCCTTCTCGACCCATCTGGGCTTGGAGACACACCTTTATGTGTGTAGGCCCTCTGTCCCAGTCAATTACATCCCTCAAAAAGGGCAATGCCTGCCATTCATCTTTGGGGAGGATACTAAAGAGGTGGGAGGTGAAATGTGCAAAGCCAGATAGTTCTGTGCAGAGCTCCAACTCTGCTGACACGGTCTCTGCTGTTGTATTATTGGCTTAGGAGCGAGGACGGTGTGCGTGTGTGTGTAGGAGGGGAGTGGAGGGTGTCAGACAATGCCTGTAGTTGTTCTCAACTGAGCGTTTCCCGTGTGCCAGGGCAATGGACTGGAAAGGACCCAGCCCAGTTCTACACAGTGAGCTTCACATCACATACACTCTGGCTTCCACTTGTCTCCAACACATACAGCACACAGAAACCCATGTTCTTGGACTAGGTACTAAGACAACCCATTATCAGTTGGTTTTGATAGAGACTGATAAGCATAAAGTTGGTCAGACAGTTGTGACCTGACAGATATTAAAAGCTGGGCCCCTCACCTCTTGAGCACCTTGTCGTGGGTGTCGCTCCCCTGCTGAACAAGGCGATCCAGCACCTCCAGGGGGGAAGCAGACACCATCTCCTCGCCCTCCTCCTCCCTGTCCTCAAGCCCCTCCTGCCGCTGGCACAGCCTCTCCAGGGCAACTCTGCCCCGGGCTTCCGACGTCCTCCTCCCAACGAAGAGGGATGCAGCCCGGGGCAGAGCCAGGTCAAACAGGGCCTCATAGGGCAGGGAGGGGTTCTTCACTGGGCGGCTTGGCGAGAACAGGCCACTGAACTTGGCCACCTCGTCCTCCAGGGCAGAGGGGCTCTGGTGAAGAGGGTGTTGGATGGGGCTGAAGGGACACACGGGTTGGAAAGACCAGGACTGGTCCAGGGCCGAGCCCCTACTACTGTCCCCACCTCCATCTCCACCAATAGCCCCCTGGGCATTCTCCAGTGCCTTGCCTGGGGTCGACACAGCATTGTGGGGTTCCCGGGGTGGCATGGGGCCACCCAGTGGGGGGTTGGGAAGGGGCTTCTCCTGGGTACCTGTCAGGGTCTCGGTGGTGCGGTAGAACGGGGAATCAAAGCCCCTCAGGCCGGTCAAGTCCCGCTTGTCCTCCGTGATCTTCAGGAGCTCCTCTGTGATGGCAGCTGGTGAGTTTTTGGGGAAGTAAAACGGAGGGCATGAGGAGGCTTGTAGTGGAACAGGCTTTTGAGTCATTGGTGACTATTGCTATGAAATGTACACTATATATACAAAAGTATGTGGACACCCCTTCAAATTAGTGGATTTGGCTATTTCAGCCACAGCCATGCAATCTCCATAGACAAACATTGGCAGTAGAATGGCCTTATTGAAGAGCTCAGTGACTTTCAACATGGCACCATCATAGGATGCCACCTTTCCAACAAGTCAGTTCGTCAACTTTCTGCCCTGCTAGAGCTGCCCCGGTCAACTAGAAGTGTTGTTATTGTGAAGTGGAAACGTCTAAGAGCAACAACTTCTCAGCCGCGAAGTGGTAGGCCACACAAGCTCACAGAACGGAACCACCGAGTGCTGAAGTGCGTAGGGCGTAAAAATCGTCTGTCCTCGGTTGCAACACTGACTACCGAGTTCCAAACTGCCTCTGGAAGCAACGTCAGCACAAGAACTGTTCGTCGTGAGCTTCATGAAATGGGTTTCCATGGCCGGGCAGCCACACACAAGCCTAAGATCACCATGCACAACGCCAAGCGTCGGCTGGAGTGGTGTAAAGCTCAATGCCATTGGACTCTGGAGCAGTGGAAACACGTTTTCTGGAATGATGAATCACGCTTCACCATCTGGCAGTCCGACGGACGAATCTGGGTTTGGCGGATGCCAGGAGAAAGCTACCTGCTCCAATGCATAGTGCCAACTGTAAAGTTTGGTGGAGGAGGAATAATGGTCTGGGGCTGTTTTTCAGTGAAGGGAAATCTTAGCGCTACAGCACACAATGACATTCTAGAAGATTCTGTGCCTCCAACTTTCTGGTAACAGTTTGGGGAAGGCCCTTTCTTGATTCAGTATGACAATGCCCCCGTGCACAAAGCGAGGTCCATACAGAAATGGTTTGTCGAGATCGGTGTGGAAGAACTTGACTGGCCTGCACAAAGCCCTGACCTCAACCCCATCGAACACCTTTGGGATGAATTGGAACGCTGACTGCGAGCCAGGCCTAATCGCCCAACATCAATGCCCGATCTCACTAATGCTCGTGGCTGAGTGGAAGCAAGTCCCCACAGCAATGTTCCAACATCTAGTGGAAAGCCTTCCCAGAAGAGTGGAGGCTGTTATAGCAGCAAAGAGGGGACCAACTCCATATTAATGCCCATTATTTTGGAATGAGATGTTCGACGAGCAGGTGTCCACATACTTTTGGTCAAGTAGTGTATATGGTTCACTCTCATTCAACTGAAATGTTATGTCAACCTCATATAGACCAGCACACTCCCATTCTCAGTCAGTGTACCCACCCTCTTCCCTCTCCTTCTCTGTTCTCAGCTGAAGCTCCTTCATAAAGACTGACAGCTCTGTCAGTGTCATGGAAACGGTCTCACCACCACCTACATCTAGTATGCAGAAGACAGCCAATAAACATACAGTTTTCCATAAAACAATCTTCTACCAGAAAACATGGACTGACAATGTTTAAAAACCAAGGACTTAGTAAAAAGCATACAAATGTAATATCCAATGCCACATTTTTTAAAGATGACTGACCTCTGTTGTTGTTGATGACCTCTCCACCTTTTTCAGGATCTCTGATTGGTTCCTGCCTCACCAGGCTGGGTTTGGATGCTTCTACAGGGTGGCCATCCTGAAAGTGAACAGTTGTTATTCACAGGTTTTTATTTAACCAGGAAGTCCCAAGTTCTCTACTTACTACACTACAAAGGCCAGTTGCCCATTGTGGGAATGGATGTCATACTGTACCTTCTGTGGTGGACTGGTGGTGTTGGAGAGCAGGGGGATGATGGGGAACTCATCAGAGAGGGTGTGGGGCGGGGAGGAGGTGGCAGGAGTGCTGGAGGCAGGTGTACCTTTGCCACCTGCTGACAGAACCCAGCAATTAGGAGAAAATAACAACCAAAATGTAATGTAGGATTAACATTAGAACCGCTAAAGCAGTCATTTTCACTGCTCATTGTTTTTTTAAAGTCCTTGACTTTTCCTGAATAAGTCTATATAACACACTGTCAGTGTTAGAATATTACAATCACAAACAGAACTGGAGTTATAACCAGTTTTAGGATGGCATGTCATTTTTTTGAATGGTTTTCCCACGTTGCCCATCCTTCTCACAACAATAGGGCGTGCTCAGCTCCTTGTTCCAACAGTTGAAAGTGCAGTGCCCAGTTGATAATCACCCCGAAAACTGCCTCGAAACTGAACCGAAACTAATTTCACACATATAATAGATGAAAAATATTAAGTAAAGTATGATGGGGGAGAATGGGTGAGTTGATGAGTGAGGGGAAGCGTACGATGCTACATTATGTAATCACCAATTGTGAATGAAGAACAGGGCGGGCCATTCTATTGTATTGATTCATTCAAACTACACTGAACAAAAAGATAAACGCAAAATGCAACAATTTAAAAATACTTTACTGAGTTACAGTTCATATAAGGAAATCAGTCAATTGAAATAAATTCATTAGGCCCTAATCTATGGATTTCACATGACTAAGAAACACAGATATGCATACGTTGGTCACAGATAAAAATACAAATAAAGTAGGGCCGTGAATGCGAAGTTGCTGGATATTGGCGGGAACTGGAACACGTTGTCGTACACTTCGATCCAGAGCAAGCCAAACATGCTCAATGGGTGACATGTCTGGTAAGTATGCAGGCCATGGAAGAACTGGGACATTTTCAACTTCCAGGAATTCTATACAGATCCTTGCGACATGGGGCCATGCATTATCATGCTGGAACATGAGGTGATGGCAACGGATGAATGGCACAACACCGGGCCTCAGGATCTTGTCACGGTATCTCTGTGCATTCAAATTGCCATTGATAAAATGCAATTGTGTTCGTTGTCCGTAGCTTATGCCTGCCCATATCATAACCCCACCATGGGGCACTCTGTTCACAACGTTGACATCAGCAAACCGCTGGCCCACACGATGCTATACACGCTGCCACAGTTGACTACTGTTCAGTCGTGTGGTCAGGTGCCACAGAGGGACCTCAGGAAAATTACAACTGGCTCAGAACAGGGCAGCACGGCTGGCCCTTAAATGTACATGGAGAGCTAACATTAATAATATGCATGTAAATCTCTCATGGCTCAAAGTGGAGGAGATGGACTTAATCACATTTACATTTTAGCAGATTTAGCAGACGCTCTTATCCAGAGCGACTTACAGTTAGTGAGTGCATACATTTTTCATACTACTTGTTTTTGTAAGAAGTGTTGACATGCACCGAGGTGTCTGTTTAAACAACTAGCACACAGCTTAGACACCCATGCATACCCCACAAGACATGCCACCAAAGGTCTCTTCACAATCCCCAAGTCAAGAACAGACTATGGGAGGTGCACAGTACCACAGAGCCATGACTACATGGAACTCTATTCCACATCAGGTAACTAATGCAAGCGGTAGAATCAGATAAAAAAATACAGATAAAAATACACCTTATGGAACAAAGGGGACTGTGGAGACACACACACACAGACACATGATAAGACACGCACTCTACACACACGTACACATGGATGTTGTATTGTAAATATGTGATAGTGGAGTAGTGGCCTTAGCAAACACACTAAACTTATTGGGTAAAGTGTTATGAAATGTAATGTCATGTAATATTTTAAACTGTATATAACTGCCTTAATATTGCTGGACCCTAGGAAGAGTAGGTGCTGCCTTGGCAGGATCTAATGGGGATCCTTAATAAATACAAATAGTGTAAACAGAAAAGTTGAAAATCTGATGTTGAAGAAAGACAGATTGTACTTCATACAGTGGGGGAAAAAAGTATTTAGTCAGCCACCAATTGTGCAAGTTCTCCCAAGAAAAAAATCCAGAAAATCACATTGTAGGATTTTTAATGAATTTATTTGCAAATTATGGTGGAAAATAAGTATTTGGTCAATAACAAAAGTTTCTCAATACTTTGTTATATACCCTTTGTTGGCAATGACACAGGTCAAACGTTTTCCATAAGTCTTCACAAGGTTTTCACACACTGTTGCTGGTATTTTGGCCCATTCCTCCATGCAGATCTCCTCTAGAGCAGTGATGTTTTGGGGCTGTCACTGGGCAACATTGACTTTCAACTCCCTCCAAAGATTTTCTATGGGGTTGAGATCTGGAGACTGGCTAGGCCACTCCAGGACCTTGAAATGCTTCTTACGAAGCCACTCCTTCGTTGCCCGGGCGGTGTGTTTGGGATCATTGTCATGCTGAAAGACCCAGCCACGTTTCATCTTCAATGCCCTTGCTGATGGAAGGAGGTTTTCACTCAAAATCTCACGATACATGGCCCCATTCATTCTTTCCTTTACACGGATCAGTCGTCCTGGTCCCTTTGCAGAAAAACAGCCCCAAAGCATGATGTTTCCACCCCCATGCGTCACAGTAGGTATGGTGTTCTTTGGATGCAACTCAGCATTCTTTGTCCTCCAAACACGACGAGTTGAGTTTTTACCAAAAAGTTATATTTTGGTTTCATCTGACCATATGACATTCTCCCAATCCTCTTCTGGATCATCCAAATGCACTCTAGCAAACTTCAGACGGGCCTGGACATGTACTGGCTTAAGCAGGGGGACACGTCTTGTACTGCAGGATTTGAGTCCCTGGCGGCGTAGTGTGTTACTGATGGTAGGCTTTGTTACTTTGGTCCCAGCTCTCTGCAGGTCATTCACTAGGTCCCCCTGTGTGGTTCTGGGATTTTTGCTCACCGTTCTTGTGATCATTTTGACCCCACGGGGTGAGATCTTGCGTGGAACCCCAGATCAAGGGAGATTAGCAGTGGTCTTGTATGTCTTCCATTTCCTAACAATTGCTCCCACAGTTGATTTATTCAAACCAAGCTGCTTACCTATTGCAGATTCAGTCTTCCCAGCCTGGTGCAGGTCTACAATTTTGTTTCTGGTGTCCTTTGACAGCTCTTTGGTCTTGGCCATAGTGGAGTTTGGAGTGTGACTGTTTGAGATTGTGGACAGGTGTCTTTTATACTGATAACAAGTTCAAACAGGTGCCATTAATACAGGTAACGAGTGGAGGACAGAGGAGCCTCTTAAAGAAGAAGTGACAGGTCTGTGAGAGCCAGAAATCTTGCTTGTTTGTAGGTGACCAAATACTTATTTTCCACCGTAATTTGCAAATAAATTCATTAAAAATCCTACAATGTGATTTTCTGGATTTTCTTTCCTCAATTTGTCTGTCATAGTTGATGTGTACGTATGATGAAAATTACAGGGCCTCTCTCATCTTTTTAAGTGGGAGAACTTGCACAATTGGTGGCTGACTAAATACTTTTTTACCCCACTGTATATTATAAAGGTGTAAAGATGCATGTTGGGATCATTTTCTACAGCATGTTATATCATACAAATCAATATTGTTTATTAAATCTATATCAATCACACAACACATAATTCAGTCAGGTTGATCATTAATGGCACCCTTGATAAAGATGAGCAAAAAAGACTGTAGAAAATAACCAATACAAATACTGAAATATATTGTATGCAAAAAAAGGGGAAATTATATTATTTTATGCTTATACAACTGCTCAGATAATATATTGTTTAACAAGTATTACCAAAAAATCAATGAAAAGAAGATAGGGGTCAAACTTATTGGCATCCCTGTTTTCAATACACTAGCTTTTCTAAAATATTTTATTCGATTGGAGAACACATTGGGAGGGATCTTAGACCATTGGTTCTGGGGGGGCCCTTGTTAAAGTCAACAGCATCATGAACTTTACCAAGTCCCAGGACATTTTAGCCAAAAACCTGGTTGCCTCTGCCAGGAGGATGACACTTGGCTGCAAGTAGATCTTCCAACAAGACAATCATCCCAAGCACTAATCAAAATCCACAAAGAAATTGTTAATTGACCACAAAAATCTACATTTTGCAATGGCCATCTCAGTCTCCGGACTTGAGCCCCATTGAAAACCTTTGGTTTGAATTGAAGAGGGCAGTCCATAAGAATAGACGAAGGATATCAAGGATCTGGAAAGATTCTGTATGGAGGAATGGTCTAATATCCGTCCCAATGTGTTCTCCAATCGAATAAAACATTTTTGTCGCAAGGGGAGGGTGCTAGAGTACTGAAAACATGGGTGCCAATAATTTCCACCCATATATTTTTTCTATTTTTATTATTACTTGTTAAACAAAATATTTTTCTTGTTGCATATATTATAGCTCAGTATTTGTATTATTTATTTTATACAGTCTTTTTTGCTCATCTTTTTCAAGGGTGCCAATAATTATGGACCTGACTATGTTGTAATAGTTGAATGATCCCTCGTCACCTGATGTGCTGAGGCCGCGGTGGCCTGGGAGGTGAGAGGCACTATGGGAGAGCTCTGGGTTGGGTGACATGCCCCTGGAGGAAGGGGGAGTGGCCATGCCACACAGGGAGGAGGGGCTCCACAGTTCCTTTACCACACAGGAGGAGTTGAGTTCACAGCTAGAGTTCTGTAGGAAAACATTCACAATGTTACATGTTAAGTGATAATTACACACATAATTATGCTTCAATGTTTGATAATGACAACAGATGTGGTATACTATAAATTGAATCTGGAAATTAGGCTACAGTGTTTTCCAGGATCTCCGTTTCCTACCGATGAATCCTTAGACAAACCCAGAGGGCTGAACAACACCAGGACCCCCTGCGTGGGTGGCTCACAAAGAAAGGGACAGACAGCGTCGCCAGGGCAACCAGCCCCTGTGACAGACCACAGTGGAGTGGCGTGGCAGGGCAGGGGCGTGAGGGCATGTTTTCTGCTTTCTAAGGCCTGACACCACCGCCCGCCTGCCAGCCAGCCTTGCCCACTCCAACGATTCAAAGCCTCCCCTCCCTCTGCTCTCCCTCTCTGAAAACAAGGGGCCGATTCATAGGCCCGGAGGGGGTGGGGGGGGTGCAGTGGGATCAGGGACAAGCGACTAACAGCATCTGACACAGCCAATTTATCAAATCAAAATTTATTTGTCACATTCGCCGATTACAACAGGTGTAGACCTTACAGTGAAATGCTTACTTACAAGCCCTTAACCAACAATGCAATTTTAAGAAAAATATAAATACAAATTAAAAATAATTAAAGAGCAGCAGTAAAATAAAGTAACAGTAGGGAGGCTATATACAGGGGGTACCAGTACAGAGTCAATGTGCAGGGGCACAGGTTAGTCGAGGTAATATGTACAGTCAGGGAAAAAAGTATTTGATACCCTGCTGATTTTGAACGTTTGCCCACTGACAAAGACATGATCAGTCTATAATGTTAATGGTACGTTTATTTGAACAGTGAGAGACAGAATAATAACAAAAAGAATCCAGAAAAAACACATGTCAAAAATGTTATAAATTGATTTGCATTTTAATGAGGGATATAAGTATTTGACCCCTCTCAATCAGAAAGATTTCTGGCTCCCAGGTGTCTTTTATACAGGTAATGAGCTGAGATTAGGAGCACACTCTTAAAGGGAGTGCTCCTAATCTCAGCTTGTTACCTGTATAAAAGACACCTGTCCAAAGAAGCAATCAATCAATCAGATTCCAAACTCTCCACCATTATTCTCAAATGTAAGAAACACAAAATAACTGTCAATCTTCCTCGGCCTGGGGCTCCATGCAAGATCTCACCTCGTGGAGTTGCAATGATCATGAGAACGGTGAGGAATCAGCCCAGAACTACACGGGAGGATCTTGTCAATGATCTCAAGGCAGCTGGGACCATAGTCACCAAGAAAACAATTGGTAACACACTACGCCGTGAAGGACTGAAATCCTGCAGCGCCCGCAAGGTCCCCCTGCTCAAGAAAGCACATATACAGGGCCGTCTGAAGTTTGCCAATGAACATCTGAATGATTCAGAGGAGAACTGGGTGAAAGTGTTGTGGTCAGATGAGACCAAAATCGAGCTCTTTGGCATCAACTCAACTTGCCGTGTTTGGAGGAGGAGGAATGCTGCCTATGACCCCAAGAACACCATCCCCACCGTCAAACATGGAGGTGGAAACATTATGCTTTGGGGGTGTTTTTCTGCTAAGGGGACAGGACAACTTCACTGCATCAAAGGGACGATGGACGGGGCCATGTACCATCAAATCTTGGGTGAGAACCTCCTTCCCTCAGCCAGGGCATTGAAAATGGGTCGTGGATGGGTATTCCAGCATGACAATGACCCAAAACACACGGCCTAGGCAACAAAGGAGTGGCTCAAGAAGAAGAACATTAAGGTCCTGGAGTGGCCTAGCCAGTCTCAAGACCTTAATCCCATAGAAAATCTGTGGAGGGAGCTGAAGGTTCGAGTTGCCAAACGTCAGCCTCTAAACCTTAATGACTTGGAGAAGATCTGCAAAGAGGAGTGGAACAAAATCCCTCCTGAGATGTGTGCAAAACTGGTGGCCAACTACATGAAACGTCTGAATGATTGCCAACAAGGGTTTTGCCACCAAGTACTAAGTCATGTTTTGCAGAGGGGTCAAATACTTATTTCCCACATTAAAATGCAAATCAATTTCAAAAAAAATTTACATGCGTTTTTCTACATTTTGTTGTTGTTATTCTGTCTCTCACTGTTCAAATAAACCTACCATTAAAATTATAGACTGATCATGTCTTTGTCAGTGGGCAAACGTACAAAATCAGCAGGGGATCAAATACTTTTTTCCCTCACTGTACAGTACCAGTCAATAGTTTGGACACACCTACTCATTCCAGGTATTTTTTTTATACTATCAAATAACACATATTTTTTACATTTTAGTCATTTAGCAGACGCTCTTATCCAGAGCGACTTACAGTTAGTGAGTGCATTTTTTATTTATTTTTTCATACTGGCCCCCCCCCGGGAATCGAACCCACAACCCTGGCGTTGCAAACGCCATGCTCAACCAACATCCCTGCCGGCCATTCCCTCCCCTACCCTGGACGACGCTGGGCCAATTGTGCGCCACCCCATGGGTCTCCCGGTCACGGCCGGCTACGACAGAGCCTGGATTCGAACCAGGATCTCTAGTGGCACAGCTAGCACTGCGATGCAGTGCCTTAGACCACTGCGCCACTCGGGAGACCATATGGAATCATGTAGTAACCAAAAAGGTGTTAAACAAATCAAAATATACCTCCTCCTCCATGCTTTACGGTGGGAACTACACATGCGGAGATCATCCGTTCACCCACACGAGTCTCACAAAGACACGGCGGTTGGAACCAAAAATCTCAAATTTGGACTCCAGACCAAAGGACAAATTTCCACTGGTCTAATGTCCATTGCTCGTGTTTCTTGGCCCAAGCAGGTCTCTTCTTCTTATTGGTGTCCTTTAGTAGTGGTTTCTTTGCAGCAATTCGACTATGAAGGCCTGATTCACGCAGTCTCCTCTGAAACAGTTGATGTTGAGATGTCTGTGACTTGAACTCTATGAAGCATTTATTTGGGCTGCAATTTCTGAGGCTGGTTACTCTAATGAACATCCTCTGCAGCAGAGGTAACTCTGGGCCTTCCATTCCTGTGGCGGTCCTCATGAGAGCCAGTTTCATCATAGCGCTTGATGGTTTTTGTGACTGCACTTGAAGAAACTTTCAAAGTTATTGAAATTTTCCGTACTGACTGACCTTAATGTCTTAAAGTAATGATGGACTGACATTTCTCTTTGCTTATTTGAGCTGTTCTTGCCATAATATGGACTTGGTCTTTTACGAAATAGGGCTATCTTCTGTATACCCCCGCTATCTTGTCACAACACAACTGATTGGCTCAAACGCATTAAGGAAAGAAAGAGATTCCACAAATTAACTTTTAAGAAGGCACACCTGTTAATTGAAATGCATTCCAGGTGACTACCTCATGAAGCTGGAACAATGCAAATAGTCTGGGTAGCCATTTGATTAGCTGTTCAGGAGTCTTATGGCTTGGGGGTAGAAGCTGTTATGAAGCCTTTTGGACCTAGACTTGGTGCTCTGGTACCGCTTGCCGTGCGGTAGCAGAGAGAACAGTCTATGACTAGGGTGGCTGGAGTCTGACATTTTTAGGGCCTTCCTCTGACACCGCCTGGTATAGAGGTCCTGGATGGCAGGAAGCTTGGACCCAGTGATGTACTGGGCCATACGCACTACCCTCCATTGTGCCTTGTGGTCAGAGGCCGAGCAGTTGCCATACCAGGCAGTGATGCAACCAGTTAGGATGCTCTCGATGGTGCAGCTGTATAACCTTTTGAGGATCTGCGGACTCATGCAAATCTTTTCAGTCTCCTGAGGGGGAATAGGCTTTGTCGTGCCCTCTTCACGACAGTCTTGGTGTGTTTGGACCATGATAGTTTGTTGGTGATGTGGACACCAAGGAACTTGAAGCTCTCAACCTGCTCCACTAGAGCCCCGTCGATGAGAATGGGGGCGTGCTCTGTCCTCTTTTTCCTGTAGTCCACAATCATCTCCTTTGTCTTGATCACGTTGAGGGAGAGGTTATCCTGGCACCCCACGGCCAGGTCTCTGACCTACTCCCTATAGGCTGTCTCATCGTTGTCGGTGATCGGGCCTACCACTGTTGTGTCGTCTGCAAACTTAATGATGGTGCTGGAGTCGTGCCTGGCCATGCAGTCATGGGTGAACAGGGAGTACAGGAGGGGACTGAGCATGCACCCCTGAGGGGCCCCCGTGTTAAGGATCAGTGTGTCAGATGTGTCAGTGAAGACACTTGCCAGTTGGTCAGCGCATGCTCGGAGAGCACGTCCCGGTAATCCATCTGGCCCTGCGGCCTTGTGAATGTGGACCTAATTAAAGGTCTTACTCACATCGGCTACGGAGTGGTGTGATCACACAGTCGTCTGGAACAGCTGATGCTCTCATGCATGCTTTAGTGTTGCTTGCCTCGAAGCGAGCATAGAAGTAATTTAGCTCGTATGGTAGGATCGTATCACTGGGCAGCTCGTGGCTGTGCTTTCCTTTGTAGTCTGTAATAGTTTGCATGCCCTGCCACATCCGGCGTCGGAGCCGGTGTAGTACGATTCAATCTTAGTCCTGTATTGACGCTTTGCCTGTTTGATGGTTCGTGGGAGGGCATAGCGGGATTTCTTATAAGCCTCCGGGTTAGAGTCACGTTCCTTGAAAGCGGCAGCTCTACCCTTTAGCCCAGTGCGGATGTTGCCTGTAATCCATGGCTTCTGGTTGGGGTATGTACGTACAGTCACTGTGGGGACGACGTCGTCGATGCACTTATTGATGAAGCCAGTGACTGATGTGGTGTACTCCTCAATGCCATCGGAAGAATCCCGTAACATATTCCAGTCTGCGCTAGCAAAACAGTCTTGTAACTTAGCATCTGCGTCATCTGACCACATATTTATTGACCGAGTCACTGGTGCTTCCTGCTTTAGTTTTTGCTTGTAAGCAGGAATCATAGAGTTATGGTCAGATATGCCAAATGGAAGGCAAGGGAGAGCTTCTTTTACGCTTCTGCGTATGTAGTGAAGGTGATCTAGTTTTCTTCCTCTGGTTGCACATTTAACATGCTGGTAGAAATTAGGTAAAAGGGATTTAAGTTTCCCTACATTAAAGTCCCCGGCCACTAGGAGCGCTGCCTCTTGATTAGCGTTTTCCTGTTTGCTTATGGCCTTATACAGCTCATTGAGTGCAGTCTTAGTGCCAGCATCGGTTTGTGGTGGTAAATTGACAGCTACGAAAAATATAGATGAAAACTCTCTTGGTATATAGTGTGGTCTACAGCTTATCATGAGATACTCTACCTCAGGCGAGCAAAACCTTGAGACTTCCTTAATATTAGATTTTGTGCACCAGCTGTTGTTTACAAATATACACAGACCACCACCCCTTGTCTTACCGGAGGCAGCTGTTCTATCTTGCCGATGCAGCGTATATCCCGCAAGCTGTATGTTATCCATGTTGTCGTTTAGCCACGACTCAGTGAAACACAAGATATTACATGTCCCGTTGGTAGGATATCCATGATCGAAGTTCATCTATTTTGTTATTCAATGATTGTACGTTGGCTAATAGGACTGATGGTAGAGGCAGATTACCACTCGCCGTCGGATCCTTACAAGGCACCCTGACCTACGTCTCCGATTTCTCAGTCTCGTTCACATGCGAATGACAGGGATTTGGGCCTTGTTGTGTGTCTGAAGAAAATCCTTTGCCTCCGACTCGTTAAATAAAACAATATTTGTCTAGTACGAGGTGAGTAATCGCTGTCCTGATATCCAGAAGCTCTTTTTGGTCATAAGAGACGGTGGCAGAAACATTATGTACAAAATAAGTTACAAATAAACACCCTCTGCAGAACAAGAAGTGAATAGAGAAGAAGCAGCAGATAGCAGTGGCTGCCCACTCAGGCAGGCACTCTCCAACAAACCCTAATCTGGACACATTTACTATAGGTCAGTGTAGTGAAATGCTGTGTTGGTGTTACCTGACGTCTGGAGGTCTGGGGGCTGCGATAGAAGGACTGTGCCCCTGAGAGAGGGGGCAGGGACAGGGGCGGTAGCAGTGGCTGGTGGGGGGTAGAGAAAGGGGTCGAAGAGGAGCTTCCTGTGGGGAGGAGAGGAAAATAATCAGTCTGACTCACTGACTCCCATATCGATGTGTTAAGTCTTCCATTCATTCTCCATTTTTATCAACAACACCATAATCACCTCATGACAAGTCATTATTACAAACCAACTAACTCGTCTGGCAGCCAAACAACATTAGAAAAACATTATTTCAGATGATTGATAGTCTGACAATTCACATGACAGTGAAAAAACTGTAAACAAATTTCAGACATGAACAATATACTCAGTGAGAACACCAATAAAACTGTTATGACATTCCTATCCACCAATGGGAGGTGAGAGGTGAGGGAGGGGGTGTGGTGTCACCGTAGCTGTTGTGGAAGTCAGTGTAGGGGCTGGAGACGGACTCATGTGGGTGAAGCTCCAGGTGGGGGTAGAGGTTCTCGGGCATGGTCGCATAGCCCTCCTCACACGACGCTTCCTTGGGGTCCAGAGACACTTTGGCACACTCTATGACGATGTCATGAATCTCAAACCTCTTCCACCTGCAGAGATCCAGCATGGTCAATCCCACTGAGAAAAACTATGTAATAATAATCTCTAATTTGCTCATACAGCAGATGAGCTCTTTCAGCAGATAAACTCTTGTTTTGGTTGACAGAATTTGGTATATAAACAAGTGAGTGAAGCTGGAGAGCTGTGATTGACTGACCTGGTGGGATCAAGCTCATGGTCCTTAGTTCCAGTCACTAGTTCTGGGTGTATACGGACGTGTTCCAGCATTGGCTGCAAAAAATGGGGAAAGAACAAATAAATAAAAAACTGATGGAACCATTTAAATTAGATCAATTTCTATGGGTAGATATCTTTCTGAAGCCAAATCAATAGAATAAAAATGATCAAAATTAAAAATTGATCAAATGCAAAAGCTCAAGTCTCTCACCTTCACCACCTCCTCAAAGGTGTCCACGTTCTCCTTCATGCTGTAGTGGGAGCGCAGGTAGGACACAAAGTTGCAGGGGTACATGCCGTAGAGACGGTGGAAGAGCGAGTAGATGCTGGCGTGCAGGTGGATGAGGTACACCTCGGAGACGTGCCCTGGGGGAAGCAAGAGGAACAGAAGGAGAGGACATGATGTCAGGTCAGAGGCAGTGTGAACAAAAACAGTGCATCTAAAACCATGCCTGGCTCTCAACTATTTCCAATATTTTTCTTGTCTTCTATTTTAATAAAATAGCTCATCTGAGTCTTTTCTCAGGGATTACCTGGGTTCTTCAGGTTCCAGGAAGCCAGGCGGCCAAAAATGTCAAAGAACTCATACAGGTGTTGTTTGCCAGCCTGGGGGATCATGGGTAGCAGAGTGATCAACACCAGGACTCCAGTTATGAGGACCACCACGTCTAAATCCGTCTGCACACAATGGGAAGAAAAACATTCAACATTAGCATACAAGTGAAAGATGTCCAGGACACTTGATTTAATAAGCTTGTGTTTCCAAGTATTTTTTTTTACAAAGAACAATATATTTAGGAGACATCTGAGGGTAATGGCCCATTTCACTCTTACTTTGAGGCATTTAAGCAGCGAGAGAAGCAGCGGGTAGCGGGCGATCTTGTGGATCCAGGACGGCTGCTTGCGGACCACGTGGCCCAGCAGGGTGAGGGTAGGCAGCCGGCAGGCCTGTTTGGTCATACACTCGTTCATCTTGTCCAGTAGGTGCTGTGGTGGGTAAATTAAAAACATTGGGCTATAAGACAATCATACTTATTAATAGTTACTCAATGCATGAGTTCAAGTTATTTAATTAATATCTGATTAAAAATGGGGGTACATTAGTCTCTTGAGATATAGGGTGAAGGTGATGGTGGGGTTAGGCAGATCTCACCTTATCATGTGGCTCTCTGACTGAGGAGAGAATATTAATGGCCTGGGCTGAGTTAGTCTCCAGGAAGTAGTCCACCAGTCCATTCAGCAGCATGGCCCCTCGCTCTGCACAGAGAGGAGGGAAGAATGAATATAGTCCCAACATCCACATTATGGTCCACAATATGGCTGCATAATAGCCCTCTAATACAATCATCAGAGTACAGGATAAAAGGCTGACTGACAAAGTCCAAAAAACTGACTGACAAAGTCCAAAAACAACTTATTAAAAAGCAGAGTTCTCACCAGTGCTGAGATGCTCATTGATAAGGCCTTTAATCTCCTCCAGTTGGTGGATGTCAGAGGACTCCAGGAGAGGGAGGAGGTCTGCTACGTTAGGCTGCTCTCTCGCCATGGTGACAGTGGTGGAGGGGGAGGTGGTGGCAGGGGGTCTCCGTTGAGGCCTGAGGAGGGCAGGGGGGTGTCCCGGTCGTGTATCTCACAGTGTCCTGCTGCCCTGCCTGGAGGGCTCCCTGGGCCTCCGGCCAATACAGTCTCCAGGCACCACTACAGGACAGGGCAAGCAACAGGACAGTACAGGGTCATACCTGACTCAACACAAGTCAGAGAACTTCAGTGATATGTAGGCTATTAGATACACAACTTCACACCGCCGGGATTCTAGAAGAGCATGAATTGTAATATCACATGATTATGACCCTCACATAACCTAATCTAAAGAAAGTCATACAGTGCAGACAAAATGTAGGAAATTAGCAATGTTATTAATGGCATTCAGCCTAGCTAGTAGCTACATACATATTGGTATTATTAGGCTAGTTACAATGCACCTCCTAATTGCTAAGGTATAAATAAGGCCACCGATAGGTACATAGTGTGCTTTTGATATAGCCGTGAGAAATCTTATAGCACAATAGTTTCAAAGCAGTGAAACACTGACAAATTCAAAGAAATTTCTCTGACCACACTTGGCCCAACGGAACAGACAAAAACACAATCTTAATTATCTCTGCATGATATCTGTGCCCACAACTTACACAACCATGCTTAATACAAGAGAACAAGAGTCTGAGAAAAGCATGTCCTCTCCAGCTAACACAGTGGTTTGTCATAATATTCTGAGTGCTCACAGAATCTCTCCCCATCTCAGTGACTCAACCTTTAAAAGGAAAAGAGGCGTCCAAATCTCCAGCTGACAAGCGGGCATAAATAATTGTGATAGGCAGGGCATTATCACCCGGATGTCGAGCACCCCTGGTCCCTATATGTTGGAGAAAAACGGCAAGCATGTTATTGTTTTCTTAACTCCTACTCCTATTCCAATGACAGCATTACCTTAGAGGAGGAAGGGTATAGGCCTAAGGCTGAGAGCCTATTTCTTACCCTCCATCTTTAAAGTAGGCTACTCCTGTTTTACTCTATTGTGTGTCAGTGCGTGCCCCTGCTGAGAAGAAAGGTTGACAGGCAGGCAGAACTGTTAGCCTATAGACTGCTCTGTTACGGAGGCTCTCCCCCACCAGTCTCCAAGGTATCAATTAGCTCCTTTGTCTTAGTATTGGTCTAGGTTGTGTTAAATTGAATGTGGGTGTTTTCAAACTTGCAGGGCCAGAGTCAGTGGCACAACCAGGAACAACCCTCAGAGTGACCTCAAGCAGCAGCAGCTCCTGGCATCTCTGGAGCACTCAGGAGAACACAAAGAGCCTTTATGCAGCCCCATGCACTTCCATGTAAACACTGGAAATTACATTTGGCTGTGTGCAAGCCGTTAAGCGCCACCCTCATTCTCTCACAAATAATTTCACTAACAAAATACATTTGAGACTTTATAACTAAATGCATTTGAAGCCTTAGGCTAGATCTATGGGCTCAACTGGACTAGGATTTTTAATAATTCTGTCATTGTTTCGTAGTCCTCTGTGCTCTCCACAATCAGCGACAATGGACCTGATGCTCAGGAGGGAGGATATTTAGTGCAATAGACTACTGCAAAGGGAGACCCTTTCTAGCCTAGTAATGCAACTTGTATCAACTTAATTTAGAGTAGTACAGTAACTAGATACCAAATACACATTAGAAAATAAACTATGATTATGTTATGGTAAGCCTTTTTATTTACAGTTGCATGCGATGAATTACCTATGGCCATCTAGTTATACAACATAACATGCTTAGAAGTTGGAATGTACTGTAGCTGTAATATCAAATAAATGCAATGATGAGATATAACGTTAGCTAGCTAGTTAGTACTTATGACGCCTACGCCTCAAGCTTTGCTCAAAATGTGATGCAGAAAGCAGCTGCAACATTGCAAGAAGTTGCAGCTGAATACAACAAATATAACCAGCTAGCTAACGTTACAACATTCACCTGTAACTGTCAATGTAAACTCACTATGACAGTCAAACGCTAACTAGCCAATAATTCTCAACTCCAGTATCGAGGAGTTGATAATTATTGGCTAAACGCTAGCTAGCTGTGTCGCCAGCAAGCAGACTACTGTAGTTTTCTATCTGGAACGACCACTTACTGTCGTAAACAACTCAGGGAACAATGGGCAGGGTTCGGTTTGTTGTGTCCGAGTATCTTACAGGAGTTAATCTTGGCAAGCTGAAAACTATTTCAACATATGCATGGTCGTGAAAGTAGCTAGCTAGCTAGCTATGACTCAAACCATTACCGTCTACAGAAATAGAATTAACGTTAGCTGACAGTCCAAAAAAACAAGTCATTATAAACAGCTACGTCTGGGGGGGGGGGGGGGACATGCATTTAACAGTCATGAAAGAGCATCAGAAACGCATAATAATGCACACGCCTTATATTAACCACATTTTAACGTCTGAAATTCACCATTATATATTTAAGTACCTCAATACATGGACCTGTTACCTGTCAGAGTCGCTGCACTCCACAGGGCGCCGCCATCTTGAACACCTCACAGCCCATTCTTCTGCAATCAGCCTCCGCTGACTCGCACGCAAAGTAATCCCTGGGCCATTCAGAATCTGCAATTGCACAGTGACTAGTCTATTTACCTAAATAACGCTACAGCTAAGCTTATTCAAATTCTTCCATTCTGCTGTAATCATATTTCAGTGCACCATACTACTCATTTCCTCACTCTACGAGAAACTAAGCATTGTTTTTCTCAGGTGGAGGGATGAGTTTATCTGTAATGCGGTTTTCGCGTGACTCGGGTAGTGAGCGCATGCGCCCAAAATAATGGCCATATTGTTAGGCGTTATCTGTAGCTATTGGATAACTCCAATATCATATCCCATTCTCACCTCACAAATTGAAATACGCAACACATAAATATTTTCAAAATGTTAGCTGATGGTGTTATTAGCCTACATAGGCCTATTTATACAAACCAAGCATTAACCAACACAAACCAAGCATTCCACTCAAAGCAGTTTAACAACTTTTTGGGGCCCATCAATATGATTTCCTTGACTACAGCTACTACAGATAAGATGAATAAAGATTTGTGAACATAAATCTAATTCAGGAGTTTCCAACCCTTTTCACACAGGGACCCCTATTTCACAACAAAACATTTGCTGGAAAGAAAGAAGACATGGTTTTATGGGGAGGCATTGTTCCATCACACCATGCCTCCCTTAAACCATGCCTCCCCTCTTTCTAGCCTCTTTCTATTAGCTTTTTATGGACACTTCATTTGATTTAGTAAATTGGGTAAAGTAGACAAGGTATGAAATACACAGTCCTAGCGGTTAGAGCGTTTGTCCAGTGATCAAAAGGTTGCTAGTTTGCAATACCCGAGCCAACAATGTGAAAAATCTGTTGAGCTGCCCTTGAGCAAAGCACTTAACCCAAATTGCTCCAGGCAGACCCTGGCTTTGACCCCCCTCTTCGAGGGTGTCTCAGGAGTTGGGATATGCAAAAAAACACATTTCCAATTCACACGTGTATAATGCGTACATGTGTGAAATAGGAAAAACATAAGCACCTACAAAAAATGTTTTGAGGTTAGAAAGTTGGGCTAGTAACCGTTGGGCTAGTAACCAAGGTTACTGGTTCAAATCCTGCCGCTGACAAGTTTAAAAAATCTGTCACTGTGCCCTTGAGCAAGGCACTTAACTCCAGGGGCGGTGGACAATGGTGACCCTGGCTGTGACCCCACTCCATTCGGGTGTCTCTGGGGGAGTTGGGATATGCAAGAAAGACATTTCCACTACACAATTATGTGTAACAGGATAAATGTAAGAACCCCCCAAATTATTATTATTATTATTATCATCATCTTACAGTACATTTCTATTGTGGGACCGTAATTGGATGACTTTTATTTTGATAGCGGATGCTGTTGAACCAGGACTGACCTCCGGCACAACAGACTCTTGCACTGACTCCCTGCACCTTACACACATGCACTCACTCACACATAGGCACGAACACACACACAGACACACATACAGTGAGGGAAAAAAGTATTTGATCCCCTGCTGATTTTGTACGTTTGCCCACCGACAAAGACATGATCAGTCTATAATTTTAATGGTAGGTTTATTTGAACAGTGAGAGACAGAATAAAAACAAAAAAATCCAGAAAAACGCATGTCAGACATTTTATAAATTGATTTGCATTTTAATGAGGGAAATAAGTATTCGACCCCTCTGCAAAACATGACTTAGTACTTGGTGGCAAAACCCTTGTTGGCAATCACAGAGGTCAGATGTTTCTTGTAGTTGGCCACCAGGTTTGCACACATCTCAGGAGGGATTTTGTCCCACTCCTCTTTGCAGATCTTCTCCAAGTCATTAAGGTTTCGAGGCTGACATTTGGCAACTCGAACCTTTAGTTCCCTCCACAGATTTTCTATGGGATTAAGGTCTGGAGACTGGCTAGGCCACTCCAGTACCTTAATATGCTTCTTCTTGAGTCACTCTTTTGTTGCCTTGGCCGTGTGTTTTGGGTCATTGTCATGCTGGAATATCCATCCACGACCCATTTTCAATGCCCTGGCTGAGGGAAGGAGGTTCTCCCCCAAGATTTGACGGCCCCGTCCATCATCCCTTTGATGCGGTGAAGTTGTCCTGTCCCCTTAGCAGAAAAACACCCCCAAAGCATAATGTTTCCACCTCCATGTTTGGGGTCATAGGCAGCATTCCTCCTCCTCCAAACACGGCGAGTTGAGTTGATGCCAAAGAGCTCGATTTTGGTCTCATCTGACCACAACACTTTCACCCAGTTCTCCTCTGAATCATTCAGATGTTCATTGGCAAACTTCAGACGGCCCTGTATATGTGCTTTCTTGAGCAGGGGGACCTTGCGGGCGCTGCAGGATTTCAGTCCTTCACGGCGTAGTGTGTTACCAATTGTTTTCTTGGTGACTATGGTATCAGCTGCCTTGAGACCATTGACAAGATCCTCCCGTGTATTTCTGGGCTGATTCCTCACCGTTCTCATGATCATTGCAACTCCACGAGGTGAGATCTTGCATGGAGACTCAGGCCAAGGGAAATTGACAGTTCTTTTGTGTTTCTTCCATTTGCGAATAATCGCACCAACTGTTGTCACCTTCTCACCAAGCTGCTTGGCGATGGTCTTGTAGCCCATTCCAGCCTTGTGTAGGTCTACAATCTTGTCCCTGACATCCTTGGAGAGCTCTTTGGTCTTGGCCATGGTGGAGAGTGTAATCTGATTGATTGATTGCTTCTGTGGACAGGTGTCTTTTATACACGTAACAAGCTGAGATTAGGAGCACTCCCTTTAAGAGTGTGCTCCTAATCTCAGCTCGTTACCTGTATAAAAGACACCTGGGAGCCAGAAATCTTTCTGATTGAGAGGGGGTCAAATACTTATTTCCCTCATTAAAATGCAAATCAATTTATAACATTTTTGACATGCGTTTTTCTGGATTTTTTTGTTGTTATTCTGTCTCTCACTGTTCAAATAAACCTACCATTAAAATTAAAGACTGATAATTTCTTTGTCAGTGGGCAAACATATAAAATCAGCAGGGGATCAAATACTTTTTTCCCTCACTGTACTACACACACACCCCATGAATGCTGATCTTTTTGTCTATTTATTATTGCACAATCTATTGCACAATTCCCTGTGACGTGTAAATATCCTACTTCAATTCGTTTGAATGCCTTCTTGTATTATATTTTAGCAAATGTTTATCATATTTCTATCCATTGAGCTTTTATTTTGTAGTACTCTTTTATTCACTTAATTAGCCTACTTTTCTACTGTTGTTGCATTGTCAATAGGTAATGATGCAGGTAAGCATTTCGTTGCACTAAGTATTCCATATATATCATATATGATTAATAAACAATCTTGAACATGAACTGTTTCTCTGGCTATAAAGAGCAGGGGTTGCTGCGATAGCTCTTCAGTTTAGAGTTGAGTGCCATAGCAGGTGCTAGCTCTCTGCTGATGTTATTTCTCCTTATATTTAATTTGTCCCCTGAAGTTGAGTGGTTGCTCTAATTAAACCTTAATCTATATCTGAATAATAACCGTTATTTACCCTGCCTGGGCTTATATCGGGTGGCAGTTGGCTGTTCTTTCAAGAATGAAAGCTAACAAACTACCACCACTGGTGATCTAGACTCTAGACTGGAGACTAGTGGAGGCTCTATAGAGTTAAATAGAGGACTTTAGATGGATAAAACCCATTCTGGCATGGACATCGCCATTGAGGGCTTCCAGCATTTTAAAGTAGTCAACTGGGTGGGACTTTCTTTGGGTTAAGGCAGGATCACATGATTCCATCCGGGTCATTAGGAGGGATCAGTCAATTAATTATGCTCGTGAGCAAACACTAGGCAGTATACACTCTTTCAGTTTATTTGCCAACTCATAGAAGTAGTATAAGAAGAAAATGGACTACTTCAAAAGGAGATTGCCTCAATGGCACTCCCCGTGCGCTCACAGACTCCATAATGGGACATTAACAAACATGATATCTGTTTCATTCTCTATGGGAGGCTCCTGCATGAGAAAAATGTATGGACGAGAAACCGCCACCTGATGTCGCAAGTGTGCCTCCTCACTTCATTACGTTGTGAGTTCATGCACTGAAAAATCGCATTTTGGCAAGATACAGTATATTAGTGTAGCTTACAAAGATGACATTCATTGTTTTACTGTTATTGTAACACAAAATAACTTAATTGTATTTGTTTTATTCAAAATAATGTTTTCGTTATTTTCAACGCACTGATCCATGAAGATACGTCTTTATGACAGTTGGATAGAATAGACCAGGGTTCTTCAATTCCGGTCCTGGAGGGCCGAAACACTTCTGTTTTTTATTTCTACCTGGTAGTTAATTGCACTCACCTGGTGTCCCAGGTCTGAATTAGCCCCTGATTAGAAGGAGAGGATGAAAAACAGAGGTGTTTCGGCCCTCCAGGACCGGAATTGAAGAACCCTGGAATTGACCAACTGTCTGACAAAAGTTCTGAGAAAAAAATCTAGGCTATGTCAGTAACTGATGAACAGCTACACAAAATACAGTCCAGTGCAAACAAGACTGTGTAAACATGAATAATCGGAGACTGGTTTGGTGTGTGTATCTATGGAGGTGCTGGGGCCTAGTTTTGCTTATTTAAATCTTAGGCACCCAAGACTATGTATTGGCAATTTCATTTACACAACAGAGAGATTGTAATGACTACTGTAAATCTTGTAAATCAAATATTGCAAGTTGTAGGGTAAGGAGTGAAACTTTTGGATTGGATTTAATTTTGTTTCTCTAATCGATTTTAATAGATGTAAAATATTCTGTAATTGGTGAAATGACCTTTGTTCCTTCCAATTTGAAAACCATTATATACCAAACAAAATATAATAATGTGGATGACATGATGTTCAAAAATTATTTCAATTTAATTTGTGAACTATTTGAAACTTAAAATCGTTTGTAACAGTTCGAGGAGTTGTGTCTAGGTTAATTTATGTTATTCTACGCAAATTTCCAAATGCGAGTTGGCGCTCTCATTGGTTGAAACCACAGTCAGATTCCTACAGAACAGTATCTGATTGAAAATCAGGGAGGGGAGAAAAAGAAAGAGAGCAAGAAGTGCGATGTCTTACAGTGGTTTGGTTTCTGACTTTTGCGAAGGGATTTTGGGAAATATGTATTCTTCGACTGATTGGATATTGTTTTAAGACTGGGGGGAAAAGTAAGCTAGCCTTTGCCAATATATAGTAATACAACCACTATCCTACCTAACCTACTTTTTATACACGAAAGGTAAGTGCAGCAGGTGTGTAATATTATAACGAATTTTTCCTGTAACATAATTTATTTTGTATTTTTATTGATAATTCGAATAAAGAAAATTACGATAGATTCATGTAGGTTATAAATTAATTAATGCATTTTACAATTAGCCTATCCAAGTCAGTGATGTTTTAAACATCACAAGCCTATCATATGCTTTTGGAACGAAAACGTTCTTATTTTCTGTCTTTCAAAGCGTTATATTTCATGATAGGCCTACATAGATAACTCAAATACTGATTGATCATTCTGTTGTATTGGATTTGACAGCATATTAATTTGTGGCATATTCTGGGAATTAGTTAGTATGGCTTGGTTATTTTAAATGTACAATTCATGTAGGACTACAGTTTATTTATACTATATTTAAAACAGTGTTAGCATAAAGTCAAACAACCTACCTAAACTGAATTTACACATCTGACACAATTTGTCTAAGAATAATGTAATGATAATTTATTTAGCCTATTATTTCCCTCGCTCAGAATCGCTCCATCAAAAATGTTATATCAGCCTACCTAAAAATCTTGAACGTTCACAGACTCATAAACTGCATTATAACATGCTAGGCCTAGGCCTCCAAAATACCTAAAATATGTTGAGTTGCGTATAAGCATTTGCCATAATTATCTTTTCCAACAGCGTTGTCATGCCACGATCCTTTTTGGTGAAAAACAAGAGGTGCACATCTTACAATGTGCACCGATCTCACGAAGATGAAACCGAACCGAGGGACCCTGAATTTACAAGTAAGAATGTCAAGATTATTATGGAGACACATCAATACTTTTACAAGTGTATAATGATTTGCAAGTTATTTCATGCATTGCCACAGTTTATAATTAATCAATTGACACAATGACAAGTTTACGTTTGCTTGTAATTTATTCACACCCCTGTGCATCATAGACATCAGTCATTTTTATATTATCTGCACCAAAATAGGCTATTGCAAAAAAAAAGAAAAACAAATGACATTTATTTGACTTGAGGAAAGTTAATACATAATGATGAGTTGCAGCATGCAGTGGGACTTTTCTAAATATATGTTAAACATCATCATAGAAAATAAATGAAATTGATGACAGAGGCAACACCTGTTGGACTATTAGACGAAGTATCGTCCAAAGCAAGGGAAAAATGCTAAGACTGTTATTGATGGTCGGATTTGTCAATGCGTTCACAATTCACTGAATTCCTTGAATTCATTGTAATTAGCCTATTGAAACTGAGCGGTTAGGGCCGGTGTCAAGGATATGCAAAAGATACATCTTTATTGGACGTATGCGACACCATTCTTTCACGGGAAATACCATCATTTTGTGTTTTGTTGATGGTGGAAAACACTGTCTCAGGTGCTGCTCCAGAATCTCCCATAGTGTTCAATTGGCTTGAGATCTGGTGACACACATACACTTTAAACCCTTTGAGACCCCTCTTTCAAAGTCATTGGCCGTGTCCGAATACCCATACTAGTGTACTATACTGAAGAAAAATGTAAACGCAACATGCAACAATTTCAAAGATTTTACTGAGTTACAGTTCATATAAGGAAATCAGTCAATTGAAATACATTTATTAGGCCCTAATCTATGGATTTCACATGACTGGGCAGGGGTGCAGCCATGTGTGTCCTGGGACGGCATAGGCCCACCCACTTGACAACCAGGCCCACCCCTGGGGAGCCAGGCCCTGCCAATCAGAGTGGCATTGTGTTGTGTGGCAAAACTTCACATTCTAAAGTGGCCTTTTATTATTTTTATTTTTTTGTCATTTAGCAGACGCTCTTATCCAGAGCGACTTACAGTTAGTGAACACATTTTTTTATACTGGCCCCCCGTGGGAATCGAACCCACAACCCTGGCGTTGCAAACGCCATGCTCTATCAACTGAGCTACATCCCTGCCGGCCATTCCCTCCCCTACCCTGGACGACGCTGGGCCAATTGTGTGCCGCCCATGAGTCTCCCGGTCGCGGCCGGCTGCGACAGAGCCTGGATTCGAACCAGGATCTCTAGTGGCACAGTTAGCACTGCGATGCAGTGCCTTAGACCACTGCGCCACTCAGGAGTACATTGTCTGCAGCACAAGGTGCACCTGTGTAATGATCATGCTGTTTAATCAGCTTCTTGATATTCCACACCTGTCAGGTGGATGTATTATCTTGGCAAAGGAAAAACGCTCACTAATAGGAATGTAAACAAATTTGTGCACAAAATTTGAGAGAAATATATGGAAAATGTCTGTCATTTTTTATTTCAGCTCATGAAACATGGGACCAACACTTTACATGTTGCGTTTATATTTTTGTTCAGTGTACATACTTACACTGCATACTCATTTCAGTGTTTGCTCTAATGTACAGTACCAGTCAAAAGTTTGGACACACCTACTCATTCCAGGGTTTTTCTTTCTTTTTACTATTTTCTACATTGTACAATAATAGTGAAGACATCAAACTATGAAATAACACATATGGAATCATGTAGAAACCAAAAAAGTGTTAAACAAATCAAAATATATTTTATATTTGAGATTCTTCAAATAGCCACCCTTTGCCTTGATGACAGCTTTGCACACTCTTGGCATTCTCTCAACCAGCTTCACCTGGAATGCTTTTCCAACAGTCTTGAGAGAGTTCCCACATGTGCTGAGCACTTGTTGGCTGCTTTTCCTTCACTCTGCGGTCAGACTCATCCCAAACCAACTCAATTGGGTTGAGGTCGGGGGATTGTGGAGGCCAGGTCATCTTATGCAGCACTCCATCACTCTCCTTCTTGGTAAAATAGCCCTTACACAGCCTGGAGGTGTGTTGGATCATTGTCCTGTTGAAAAACAAATGATAGTCCCACTAAGCCCAAACCAGATGGGATGGCGAATCTCTGCAGAATGCTGTGGTAGCCATGCTGGTTAAGTATGCCTTGAATTCTAAATAAATCACTGACAGTGTCACCAGCAAAGCACCCCCACACCATAACACCTCCTCCTCCATGCTTTACGGTGGGAAATACACATGCAGAGATCATCCGTTCACCCACACCGTGTCTCACAAAGCCTTGGCGGTTGGAAACAAAAATCTCAAATTTGGACTCCAGACTAAAGGACACATTTTCACCGGTCTAATGTCCATTGCTCGTGTTTCTTGGCACAAGCAAGTCTCTTCTTCTTATTGGTGTCCTTTAGTAGTGATTTCTTTGCAGCAATTTGACCATGAAGACCTGATTCACACAGTCTCCTCTGAACAGTTGATGTTGAGATGTGTCTGTGACCTGAACTCTGTGAAGCATTTATTTGGACTGCAATTTCTGAAGCTGGTAACTCTAATGAACTTAACCTCTGCAGCAGAGGTACTCTGGGTCTTCCATTCCTGTGTCGGTCCTTATGAGAGCCAGTTTCATCATAGCGCTTGATGGTTTTTGCTTGATGGTATTTAACACTTTTTTGGTTACTACATGATTCCATATGTGTTATTTCATAGTTTTGATGTCTTCACTATTATTCTACAATGTAAAAAATAATAAAAATAAAGAAAAACCCTTGAATGAGTAGGTGTGTCCAAATTCTTCACTGGTAGTGTAATTCACTTGTCTTTTCCAACTCATGTGTTTGACAACAGCTGAAAATCAGATAAATTGATGCACTGTACCAAAATGAACGAATAGCGGGAGTCAATGCAATCGCGCATTAGATGATGCATTGGAAGTACTATTTTCGAAATTTCACATACTATAAAACATTATTTATTTTCGCAAATACAAAATATTTGGCATGGGTCCTCAGATCCTCAAAAAGTTATACAGCTGCACCATAGAGAGCATCCTGACTGGTTGCATCACTACCTGGTATGGCAACTGCTTGGCCTCCGACCGCAAGGCACTACAGAGGGTAGTACGTACGGCCCAGTACATCACTGGGGCCAAGCTTCCTGCCATCCAGGAAAAATTTGTCTGGTTCATCCTTGGGAGCAATTTCCAAACGCCTGAAGGTACCACGTTCATCTGTACAAACAATAGTACGCAAGTATAAACACCATGGGACCATGCAGCCGTCATACCGCTCAGGAAGGAGATGCGTTCTGTCTCCTAGAGATGAATGTACTTTGGTGCGAAAAGTGCAAATCAATCCCAGAACAACAGCAAAGGACCTTGTGAAGTTGCTGGAAACCGGTACAAAAGTATCTATATCCACAGTAAAACGAGTCCTATATCGACATAACCTGAAAGGCCGCTCAGCAATGAAGAAGCCACTGCTCCAAAACCGCCATAAAAAAGCCAGACTACGGTTTGCAACTGCACATGGGGACAAAGATCGTACTTTTTGGAGAAATGTCCTCTGGTCTGATGAAACAAAAATAGAACTGTTTGGCCATAATGACCATCGTTATGTTTGGAGGAAAAAGGGGGTCGCTTGCAAGCCGAAGAACACCATCCCAACCGTGAAGCACAGGGTTGGCAGCATCATGCTGTGGGGGTGCTTTGCTGCAGGAGGGACTGGTGGACTTCACAAAATAGATGGCATCATGAGGAAGGAAAATTTTGTGGATATATTGAAGCAACAACTCAAGACATCAGTCAGGAAGTTAAAGCTTGGTTGCAAATGGGTCTTCCAAATGGACAATGACCCCAAGCATACTTCTAAAGTTGTGGCAAAATGGCTTAAGGACAACAAAGTCAAGATATTGGTGTGGCCATCACAAAGCCCTGACCTCAATCCTATAGAAAATTTGTGGGCTGAACTGAAAAAGCGTGTGCGAGCAAGGAGGCCTACAAACCTGACTCAGTTACACCAGCTCTGTCAGGAGGAATGGGCCAAAATTCCCCCAACTTATTGTGGGAAGCTTGTGGAAGGCTACCCGAAATGTTTCACCCAAGTTAAACAATTTAAAGGCAACGCAATCAAATACTAATTGAGTGTATGTACACTTCTGACCTACTGGGAATGTGATGAAAGAAATAACATCTGAAATAAATAATTCTCTCTACTATTATTCGGACATTTCACATTCTTAAAATAAAGTGGTGATCCTAACTGACCTAACACAGGGAATTTGTACTAGGATAAAATGTCAGGAATTGTGAAAAACTGAGTTTAAATGTATTTGGCTAAGGTGTATGTAAACTTCTGACTTCAACTGTATTGTCACGCTTGTTTAATGACGGGTCAGACCAAGGCGCAGCGTGATATGCGTACATGTTTATTTTAACTGTTAAACACACGACAAAACAACAAAGGAAACGAAACGTGAAGTCCTAAGGTAGACACACAACTAACCTTACACGGAACAAGATCCCACAACTAGACAGTGCCAATAGGCTGCCTAAGTATGGTCCCCAATCAGAGACAACGAGCGACAGCTGCCTCTGATTGGGAACCACACCGGCCAACATAGATCCACACATACTAGAATATACAACATAGAACATACACAACAAAGAATATACACACCCTGACTCAACATATAAGAGTCCCCTGAGTCAGGGCGTGACAGTACCCCCCCCTCAAAGGTGCGGACTCCGACCGCACAACATAAACATAACAGGGTAGGGGCCGGGTGGGCATTCCGCCTCAGAGGCGGATCCGGCTCGGGGCGTGACGACCTCTCACTCTCCGCCTCCCTGTTGCGCCCCTGGTCTGTTCTGGACCTCGGCGCGCTACTTCCCCTCTCCTTCCTCCCACGATACGCCAGGCCCTGTCTGGACCCTGGTGTGGGAGACCCCGAACCTGGAGAGGGGTGACGTCATGGTCTGGACTGGAGCCGCTGACCGGAGCTGGACTGGGCACCGGTGGAGCGGACTGCTCTGGCTCCGGAGTGGAGCCGCTGACCGGAGCTGGATCAGGCACCGGTGGAGCAAACTGCTCTGGCTCCGGAGTGGAGCCGCTGACCGGAGCTGGACTTAACCCCGGTGGAGCGGACTGCTCTGGCTCCGGAGTGGCGCAGCTGACCGGAGCTGGATCAGGCACCGGTGGAGCGGACTGCTCTGGCTCCGGAGTGGAGCAGCTGACGGGCACGGGCCGTGCCGGACAAATGCACCACTGGTCTGGTGCGAGGAGCAGGCACAGGCCGGACCTGACTAGGAACACGCACCACTGGCTTGGTGCGAGGGGCAGGAACGGGCCGGGCCGGACTGGCGACGCGCACCACTGGCTTGGTGCGAGGAGCAGGAACAGGCCGGGCCGGGCTGGCGACGCGCACCACTGTCTTGGTGCGAGGAGCAGGAACAGGCCGGGCCGGGCTGGCGACGCGCACCACTGGCTTGGTGCGAGGAGCAGGAACAGGCCGGGCCGGACTGGCGACGCGCACCACTGGCTTGGTGCGAGGAGCAGGAACAGGCCGGGTCGGGCTGGCGACGCGCACCACTGGCTTGGTGCGAGGATCAGGAACAGGCCGGGCTGGCGATGCGCACCCCTGGCTTAGTGCGAGGAGCAGGAACAGGCCGGACTGGCGACGCGCACCACTGGCTTGGTGCGAGGAGCAGGAACAGGCCGGGCCGGACTGGCGACGCGCACCACTGGCTTGGTGCGAGGAGCAGGAACAGGCCGGGCCGGACTGGCGACGCGCACCACTGGCTTGGTGCGAGGAGCAGGAACAGGCCGGGCCGGACTGGCGACACGCACCACAGGCTTGGTGCGAGGGGCAGGAACGGGCCGGGCCGTACTGGGAACACGCACCACTGGCTTGGTGCGGGGAGCAGGAACAGGCCGGACCGGACTGGCGACACGCACCACTTGCTTGGTGCGAGGAGCAGGACTGGGTTCCTTTATTAACCCCCGCTCCTTCTGCTGCCTAACCAGCTCCTCTCGCCGTGTCTCTACTCTTTCCTTCTCCCTTTCAGCCTTCTGTAGCGCCTCCCTCTGACCGAATAACTCCTGCTCCCTCTGAACCAATAGCCCCCGTAACATGGTGGCCTCCTCTCCTAACCTGCAGATCCGCCCTTTAACGGCCTCCTGCTGCCTCGTCATCCACACCGTGTGCCCCCCCAAAACATTTACTTGGGGTTGCTTCTCGGGTCTCCGTCGTCGGCACTGTTGGGGCCGTTTCTCCTCTCCTACCTGGGCATCCTCCTTCATCGCCTTCCGATAACGGACGGCTTCCCCCTCCGTAATTCTCCCCCACCCGAGGAGGACATCTACTAACATAACCTCCTGTTGAGTCCCAGGCGTTTGCTCCTTCTCGGCACGCTGCTTGGTCCTTGTTTGGTGGGATCTTCTGTCACGTTCGTTTAATGACGGGTCAGACCAAGGCGCAGCGTGATATGCGTACATGTTTATTTTAACTGTTAAACACACGACAAAACAACAAAGGAAACGAAACGTGAAGTCCTAAGGTAGACACACAACTAACCTTACACGGAACAAGATCCCACAACTAGACAGTGCCAATAGGCTGCCTAAGTATGGTCCCCAATCAGAGACAACGAGCGACAGCTGCTTCTGATTGGGAACCACACCGGCCAACATAGATCCACACATACTAGAATATACAACATAGAACATACACAACAAAGAATATACACACCCTGACTCAACATATAAGAGTCCCCTGAGTCAGGGCGTGACATGTATATACCAGGTGGTGTATACCAAACCCCCCCCCCCCCCCCCCCCCCTTTACGCTGCTGCTACTCTCTGTTTATTATCTATGCATAGTCACTTTAACTCTACCTACATGTACATATTACCTCAGTGAAATGCTTGTAAGTAAGCATTTCACTGTAAGGTCTACACCTGTTGTAATCGGCGCATGTGACCAATACAATTTGATTTGATTGATTTGATACTATTTAGTACGCTAGTATGGGTATTTGGACATGGCCACTGAGATCTCTTCTTCTAGCCATGATAGCCAACATAATTGGCAACTGGACATTTTTATACATGACCCTAAGCATAATGGGATGTTTTAATTGCTTAATTAACTTCGGAACCACAGCCACATCTGTGTGGAAGAACCTGCTTTTAATATACCCTTTATCTATCATTTACTCAAGTGTTTCCTTTATTTTGGCAGTTACCTGTACATTTACAGTGGGGAAAAAAAGTATTTAGTCAGCCACCAATTGTGCAAGTTCTCCCACTTAAAAAGATGAGAGAGGCCTGTCATTTTCATCATATGTACACGTCAACTATGACAGACAAATTGAGAAAAAAAATTCCAGAAAATCACATTGTAGGATTTTTAATGAATTTATTTGCAAATTATGGTGGAAAATAAGTATTTGGTCACCTACAAACAAGCAAGATTTCTGGCTCTCACAGACCTGTAACTTCTTCTTTAAGAGGCTCCTCTGTCCTCCACTCGTTACCTGTATTAATGGCACCTGTTTGAACTTGTTATCAGTATAAAAGACACCTGTCCACAACCTCAAACAGTCACACTCCAAACTCCACTATGGTCAAGACCAAAGAGCTGTCAAAGGACAACAGAAACAAAATTGTAGACCTGCACCAGGCTGGGAAGACTGAATCTGCAATAGGTAAGCAGCTTGGTTTGAAGAAATCAACTGTGGGAGCAATTATTAGGAAATGGAAGACATACAAGACCACTGATAATCTCCCTCGATCTGGGGCTCCACGCAAGATCTCACCCCGTGGGGTCAAAATGATCACAAGAACGGTGAGCAAAAATCCCAGAACCACACGGGGGGACCTAGTGAATGACCTGCAGAGAGCTGGGACCAAAGTAACAAAGCCTAACATCAGTAACACACTACTCCACCAGGGACTCAAATCCTGCATTGCCAGACGTGTCCCCCTGCTTAAGCCAGTACATGTCCAGGCCCGTCTGAAGTTTGCTAGAGTGCATTTGGATGATCCAGAAGAGGATTGGGAGAATGTCATATGGTCAGATGAAACCAAAATATAACTTTTTGGTAAAAACTCAACTCATCGTGTTTGGAGGACAAAGAATGCTGAGTTGCATCCAAAGAACACCATACCTACTGTGAAGCATGGGGGTGGAAACTTCATGCTTTGGGGCTGTTTTTCTGCAAAGGGACCAGGACGACTGATCCGTGTAAAGGAAAGAATGAATGGGGCCATGTATCGTGAGATTTTGAGTGAAAACCTCCTTCCATCAGCAAGGGCATTGAAGATTAAACGTGGCTGGGTCTTTTAGCATGACAATGATCCCAAACACACCCCCCGGGCAACGAAGGAGTGGCTTCGTAAGAAGCATTTCAAGGTCCTGGAGTGGCCTAGCCAGTCTCCAGATCTCAACCCCATAGAAAATCTTTGGAGGGAGTTGAAAGTCCGTGTTGCCCAGCGACAGCCCCAAAACATCACTGCTCTAGAGGAGATCTGCATGGAGGAATGGGCCAAAATACCAGCAACAGTGTGTGAAAACCTTGTGAAGACTTACAGAAAACGTTTGACCTGTGTCATTGCCAACAAGGGGTATATAACAAAGTATTGAGAAACTTTTGTTATTGACCAAATACTTATTTTCCACCATAATTTGCAAATAAATTCATAAAAAATCCTACAATGTGATTTTCTGGATTTTTTTTCCTCATTTTGTCTGTCATAGTTGACATGTACCTATGATGAAAATTACAGGCCTCTCTCATCCTTTTAAGTGGGAGAACTTGCACAATTGGTGGCTGACTAAATACTTTTTTGCCCCACTGTATGTACACTTTCACAGATAAACTTTTTTGACTTTATGTTGAGACTCAATTAATCATATTTACAATTGTGAATTGACAGGTACTGGTACTTTTTTTATTTTGATATTTTCTTACTTTTTAACTCTCCATTGTTGGAAAAGGTCTCTATACCTGTTGTATTCGGTCCATGTGACAAAAAACACTGTATTTGATTTGATCTCGTCAGAACTAAAGAGTCCAGAGTCTCCAGTCAGGCCTCAGTCACTGGGTCAGCCCACTCATCCTGACCCCTATTCTTACATGAAAAATGAGCAGGAGCCTGAACGACCAGTCCCCTTTCACCCTGACCCAACAGGACACCCTGGTACCCCTGCTCCACGGCCATACTACTTATCAGGTGAGAGACCCTCCAACTGGGCTGGGATGTTTTGAAGAGACAAAAACTGTTGGGAATAGAATAGAATATAACCTTATTGGTCCTAAATGGGACAGCATATGATTCAGAAGGTTTTTTCAGAGGAAGTGTTCATTGAGTCAATTCTCATATTACGTCTACCCTCAGAGGCTCACATGGCAGAGCTCCCTGCCTACTACAAGCCCTCCTACACCTGGGACTCTGTACCTGCACCCTATGACTTTCATCAGATGGGCTTCCCCCCCTCCCTCATGCAGCACTCCAGCAGCCTGTTTGGGGCTCACGTCAGCAATAGCCCTGAGCCCCAGCAACCTCTGGACTGCAGCACACACTACTACCCCACCTCTGGAACTTATCACTGCATCACCTGTGACAAGGTACATATGCAGGAGTGGAAGAACAGCTTTCTCTTTACACTGTGTAACTGACAATAGCTAATGGGCCTATACATAATTAGACTGCCACAACACGTTTAAAAGACTACACATTGATATTGTGACTTTTTGATAAGCTCCTCCTAGCCGGTTGATAACTTCCCTGTCCCCCTCTGCCACGGCAGGTGTTCTCAACCCCTCATGGTCTGGAGGTGCATGTCAGACGCTCCCACAGCGGGACCAGACCGTTCGGCTGCAGCATCTGCAGGAAAACCTTTGGCCATGCTGTCAGCCTGGAGCAACACATGAATGTTCACTCACAGGTACCCACAATGCACAGTGTCCTGTTGGAGATGGTTAAGGAGACAAGACAGACAACCAGAGATGTGTACTCTGGCACATTGTCCAAATTGCCCTAAGTTATGTGTATACTTTCATGAGAATGATCATATTTGACATGAGATGATAAATTAAGTACATATTTCTTTAAACAAAGGAAAGAAGTTTTGAATGCAAGATGTGTGGAAAGACATTCAAGCGCTCCTCCACCCTCTCCACCCATCTACTCATCCACTCAGACACCAGACCCTACCCCTGTCAGTACTGTGGAAAGAGGTTCCACCAGAAGTCGGACATGAAGAAACACACCTACATCCACACAGGTGAGGAGAGAAGAGCATCCACAGAGCACCAAAGTTAGGGATCCAACCACTGATTTGAGTGTATTGTAATTTCTCAGAAAACTGAAAGGCAACGTTAGTGATTGCCTCACACTGTAGTTCTCTGCTTTCTAGGTGCTTTTAACATGAATTGTTTCCAAGAGTAATATAACTCCTGATGAATCAGAAAAAGAAACTTAAACAAATGTCCATCTGATTTGCATATCTGGTTTTCCTACTTTGCCGAGGCCTCTGTGAAATGAACTCTGTGCAGGCAGAATATGTCTCCAATGAATGTTTGACAAATCTTAACAATGGCATCATTCTTTCCTCCCAGTCATTGATACTGACTTTACAGCACAGATATACCTCATGCGTTACGTTATCTGTTTTTATACTAGATGGGAAATGCAAAATATTGCTCACGTGTACAGCAAGAGCATCAATACAAAATGAAACTGTGATATTTGATTATGATAGATATGATAATGCCACAGTTTAAACATGTTTTTGTATGTGTCTATTTAGGTGAGAAGCCCCACAAATGCCAGGTGTGTGGCAAGGCGTTTAGCCAGAGCTCCAACCTCATCACACATAGTCGTAAACACACAGGCTTTAAGCCCTTTGGCTGTGAGATCTGTGTCAAGGGCTTCCATCGCAAGGTGGACCTCCGCAGACACCATGAGAGCCAGCATGGCCTGAAGTGAAGAGGGTGAAAACAATGGATGGAGAAGAAGAGGAAAATGTGCCTTAGTGGTGAGCATCATGGTACATCATGACACAAAATGGCCACTACGGACACAATAATCTGTTTTACACGTACCACATTGAATCTTATCCTTCTTGTGAAAAGGCATTTTTAAGTCAATCAGAGCCAGCAGCTAACCAGCAGAAAATAGACAATGCAAATGATGAAGATACTTTATGAAAAAAGTATTTGCTATCACTTAAGGAGGAACAGCCCTTTGGAATAAAATCTAATTCAACTGATATGCATCCTTTGGGTGCATTACTGAGGCCTTTAAAGTCAAATGTGAAGAGAGATAGGTCTCATGATTTTGTTGCATAATGTATTTAAGAAAAAGCTTTATATGTTCACAAAGAGTATGTGTGTGCCATTCATACTGTATTTATAAATTAATCTTATGTCAAATAAAATGAAGCAATGGTATGAATGAACAAATGCTCTCCAAATAAATGGTGAGATTTTATTATAATCCTCGTAATCATTGTGGTTTGTGGAGAAAATAAAACTCACACTCCGCCCATATTTAACATAATCATACATTCACTCTCATGTGACAAATTGACAAACAATGTGAAGAAGAAGAAAAAAAACTGTCAAAAGGTAAAATACAAGCATTGTGTTAGCTTAGTAAGATGAGATGGCTCACAGTAAGCCTAGTCTTTATGTGTGACCGTTTACTCATGGCGCAGGTTGCATGCAGACTGTCTTCCAACTGGCTCTGTAGCAGTCCTCTGCAAGGCTGAGCTCATGTTGCCTGGGTCTGAAATATCTTGTATGACCAGTCAGAGATAGTGTCAGGCTTAATTCAAATCTATACCTGGAACACCATGCAAATCTCAAGTCCACCAGGTTCTCAAATGTCACACAGACAGAGGAATGGACTGCCCATGCATGTCATGATGCTCACCAAAGAGCGTAGAGGGAGGAAATACAAAAAAGGTTACAACACATTTTTTTCTCATTCTTGATCAATCCCCCCAATGCTTCCGAAATCTCAGAGTCACTAATATACTAAATTCCCCATGTATGATGCAGTTCTTCACACCCGTAAGCAAAGGTCTGCCCATTCGGCTTAATCTCTAGTTAGTCACAATGTTGGTCTTCAAGTGGGAAGAAGAAGTGTATTCCCTCTGTGTTATGATATTGGATATACTATATAACAACAGACAGACAGAGGATGTAGTACTCAAACACCCTGTCCCCATACTGTACCACACCCATCCATTCTGACAGATTTGCTTCGACAAGCACATTGCACTTCTCATGAAGACACCACCTTCATCCAGTTAGGCCATTTAAGCTGTTACAGTCAAATCAGAGAATGTCTTAGTTAAATCTGTCAAATACTGTATAAGTACCTGGCCAAGTACAACTATGGGTTAAATCAGGTTTTGAGGTTTTAGGCCTACCACTATCCCCAAATGTTTGCTAATTTCTAACAACAATCTATTCAAGTCCCACTGTATGCTGTATAGGGTATAACAATTCTGGGAACTTTCAATAAATTCCCTAGTGTTCCAGAAATCCTGGTTGGAGGGTTCCAGATTTGCCTACAAAACAGATTTCAACCTGAGTTAAACCACCAAATTAACACACACAGAGAAATTGGCAGGAAAGGAATTTTCAGTGGGTGAAAAATACAACACACATACATGGTCACAACAGCAGTATGAGTTAAGTTACGGGATTGTTACAGAAATCAGTGTCTTGGTGCAGAATGAAACGTACAGCCTGTCAACTGTCTGGTACAGTTGGTAAACAAATCTGTGGTGCCATGCAAATTAGTGTTTATATTACCCAGGCAACAGGGTCCGTTGTGCTCAGGAGGAACAGTTAGGGTTGCATCCTGGTGTGAGGGTACAGAGCAAATCAAAATCCTGCACAGGCAGCCAATGGCAAAGAGAGGAGCAGGACGGGCGGGCCTAAACAAACAGGACATGGGTCCTGCATTGGAGGGGTGGGGCCCAGACTGTAGCCTTGGGGGAAACTGGGGAAATTTGGGGACCAGGTCCACCCACACGCACCTGATCTGAACTTCCCTTTTCAACATTCGCATACAGGTGTGTGTCTGTGCTTTTTATCATTTAGTACAACACAACGCAGGGTTTTAAAACAACACAATATAGTAACGTCTCACTAGTAATTATATATTAATTATTGTATGCTTTTACGCTCTCTCTCTCTCTCTCTCTCTCTCTCTCTCTCTCTCTCTCTCTCTCTCTCTCTCTCTCTCTCTCTCTCTCTCCTCCCCCTCTTCATTTGCATCTCCTGTGCTGGCCTGGGGCACTGTGGTAGCCTAATCCCTCAATGAACTAAACCATACGTGTCTCTGGAACTTCAATGTTAAACTGTCCAGTCAAAATAAAGCTAAAATTTACATCTTTAAACACTTCCAGCTCAACAACAATCTTAAGCTAAATCAAGACAAATTATTTTCCCCTCATTTGAACTTGAGGCATCCACAGAAAATAAAAAAAATAGGTGAAATAAAAAGTAAAATGTATGTTAAAACTACAAGATAATGAAACAAAAGGTGAAATTAACAAAGCAAACTGCTTTCTTTTCAATCGTGCAGCACTAATTTGTCGAACGGCCCATGCCTGCTGCCTTGCCAGCAAGCTTATGGAGGAATCAGATACCAGAAACCGACTTAACACTGACAAACACATTAACAGAAAACAAGAAAATAAAAATCTATTCCACCCACCCGAGACCCTGTAAAGCATAAGAAAATTATGGCACATACATCTGCACACACTCTCAAACCTAACCACACCAAACTCAAGCTCTCACACACACACACACACACACACACACACACACACACACACACACACACACACACACACACACACACACACACACACACACACATACACACACACACACTGGGTGGGATGGCTCCCTTTAGTAACAGTGGGTTGTGAAGCTCAGTGGAGTGTGACCACAGGGTGTGTGTAGGCCAGAAGATGGTGCACAGAGTTGAATTTGTCTTGCAAATGAGTATGCAAAATATCCCTGGTCTGTGCTCCGGTAAAGGGGTGGAAGGTGGAAAGGTGTGCCAGCCTGAGGCTAAAAGCTAGGGGAGACATGTTGAAGAACGGATATCTCCCATGGGCTGTTCTATATAATATGTACTATTTTATGGGAAACCCCCACTTAGGACACTTTAATTAGCAGACACTGAGTATGTACTCTCAGTCTCAAGCAATGGAAGCCATAACATCCATGTGCAGTCATATAGTATCATATTTACAGTTAGCAATGCTTGACATAGAAAGGCCATGGAAAGTATGAATTAAAAAGAAGTTACACATCCCTAGCTATATGAACTGCCCACTCCCAACCAGCTGAAGGACAGAGACCATATCATCCATGTTTATGACATCAGAGCCAGGTGCTGGTATGAGATAGAGATAGAGACATAGAGAGGGAGTGGAGTGACCAGGCCAAGTCTAACACACACAGATTACCAAAGAAGTGAAGATAAAAGACAATCATTATTTCAATCCAGGGAGTGGATTATTTGTTTGTGTAAAGCATCAAATTAGAGGTAAAGTCATGCTCTTCTCCAGAACTCAGCTGGGAAAGCTGAAGAGGTAAAACATTGAAGAGGCATGAAGCTTGATTTTATCTACTTTTGCTAATACAACATTCATATCATCCTTTGGTTAAATTAATTTGGCCGTTACATGTTTATGTTTAGCCTTGAATCTCAATGCTATTGGACTAGTGAACTAAAGAAGAAGCCAAACTGAGGCAGCTGTCAGCAGCTTTCTTCCTTTTGCCCAGGCACAGGAAGTAGGTCTCTGATCACATGAGAGTGGCGGGGTGGTGATACCATTTGAATGACAGTTAGCAGGGGGAAGAGTGGAAAACATATACTGTTTATCTTGAGTCACATAATATTTGCTTATATTGCCCTTAAGGCACAGAAGTGGGACTTTAAAAAAGTAAACAGAAATGTATGAGTGTATTGCCTTATACAGATTACATTACACTTGAGGGAGGACAATTGCACAAACTGTTTGACAGGTTCTAACAGCAAGACCAGATCACTCCTTTTGCAAATAATAAGGAAACCCTGGGGGCAGGATCCCAAATTGGAGTTTAGCGTAAAGTAAACTTTTAAAACGGTGATACAACCGATAGAACATTTAAAGGGGGCAAGAGAAAATACCATTTGAATGACAATTAGCAGGGGGAAGAGTGTAGTGGATCAGAATGACAATTATGACAGCAGCCATCTTCGCCACAGCTCTGAGGCAGTTCGTCATCCAAAATTGGCATTGCCTTTCCAACCGCAACACAATCAGCTGCAAGACATGGGTTTCTGAATGCACATGATGCATTGAGAGAGAGAAGAGGAGAGAAGGAGAGAGAAAGGAGAGAAGATGACAAGGGAGTGAGAAGGACTGAGGAAAGAGAGTGAAAATTAAAAAGAGATAGAAAGAGGTGGAATGAGAGAGGGTGAAATCTGGGGCCATGCAGCAGGCATTGCGGGGCAAGTCGGGCAGTGATGGGTGTGTGATAGTCTTATCATGGCCGCCCCACACTGTAACGGTTGGAACATGCCAGCGGCTCGACAGGGAGGAGTAAACAGTCCCTCCACAGAGATAGCACCCAACACAGCCGTAATCTGGGAGACACAGGGCTCGGCAGCACGGACCCATAGACAGAGGTGCTAGATCCCACTGTGTGACACTCCGGCTCCACCACACCACATGCCAGATTGTTTCTCCCAGCATGCCCTCTTCCGCTGCCTCATCATCTCCCACAAAGCACAGAACTTCATAATACGTCCCGACGCAGGAAGCACAAATGCCTTATCTGGCTCTCCTCTAGAAAAGCATGGCACTAGGATTCTTATTCAAACAGCTGTTACACACCATCATCTTCTCCATTTCAGGGGATGGAGGGAAATGTACTTATTTGTAACATGTGACTGTGTTGGAATGGATCTGAAGTGGTAAAACTGAAACAGGACGTCAAAACAAAAGTTGCACGGCTATCTATCAGAGGGAAACCAGCCACCATCAAGCCAAAAAAACAAAACAAGAAGCAAATGGAAAACATATACTGTTTATCTTGAGTCACATCATATTAGCTTATATTGCCCTTACATTGTTTTACATTTTAGTCATTTAGCAGACGCTCTTATCCAGAGCGACTTACAGCTAGTGAGTGCATACATTATAAATTGTGTTTTTGTTTGTTTTTATTGTTTTATTTTCATACTAGCCCCCCGTGGGAATCAAACCCACAACCCTGGCGTTGCAATCGCCATGCTCTACCAACTGAGCTACATCCCTGCCGGCCATTCCCTCCCCTACCCTGGACGACGCTGGGCCAATTGTGCGCCCTTAAAGCACAGAAGTGGGACTTTAAAAAAGTAAACTAAATAGAACTTTGCTAAATTGTAGGCCTTTCCA